ATTTAGAAGTCATTCAGTCCAACCTACTTATTTTACTAACAAGGAACCAGTGACTCTTAAAGATTAAGTGACTTGTCTAAGGTCACATTTAGTTTTAAGCAGCTGAGCTGGGATTTGAACCCAGGTCCCATAACTCCAAATCTGGCGTGTCTTCCATGACACTGCCTCACATTGCCTTATTTCACTCTGCATCAGTTCATACAAGTCTTCCCAGAGAATCCAATCCAAGTTTAGCTAGGAGAGATTATCTGTCATCATGGAGTTTGAAGCATAGTAGGAAGATAAGACATAATTATAAACATCAGATGCAAGTCACAACATTTGAGAGTATGAAAGAACCTCAGAGGCCATCTTCTTAGTCCAAGCCATAACAAGAAAGGAATCTCCACTAAAATATGCCAGACAAGTGTTGGTCTAGCTTCTGCTTGAAGATCTCAAAAGAGTGGGTGGAACCTATCACCCTTCCAGGCAGCCCACTCTGCTTCTGAATAGCTTAATTGTTAGGAAGTTTTTTTTGACATCTTGCCTAAATTTTCTTTTTGCAGCTGCCACCCATTACAACAGGTTCTGCCCTGTGGGTCCAAGCAAAAGAAGAATAATAATGTTCTTGACCCCATCAGGGGTTTTCTTGGCAAAGATACTGGAGTGGTTTTCTATTGCCTTCTCTAGCTTATTTTATAGATGAGGAAACTGAGGCAAACAGGGTTAAGTGACTTGACCAGGGTCCCATAGCTAGTAAGCGCCTGAGACCAGATTTGAACTCAGGAACATGAGTCTTCCCTGACTCCAAGCTTGGCACTGTCTATCCACTGTGCCACCCAGTTGCCCTAATAATAATAAAAGCTAACATTTATATAGTGCTTACTATGTGCCAGGCACTGTGCTAAGCACTTTACAGTTGTTATCTTATTTGAGCCTCACAAGAAGTAGGTGATATTATTATTTCTATTTTACGGATGAGGAAACTGAGGCTAACAGAGGTTAAGTGACTTGCTCAGCGTCATACAGCCAGTAAGTATCTGAAGCTGGATTTGAACTCAGGTCGTCCTGACTCCATGGCTGGTGCTCTATCCACTTCATCCCTTAACTGCCCCCTAACGTTCTTTATGCCGTGCCACATACACCCCATTGCTTCTTCAACGTGCTGGATGCCGTTGGAGGTCCCCAGCTTTAGGAATATAGCAGTGAGAAGGAGAGGGAGGGGAATTTGGAAGAGGGCAAAGGGTATCAGAGAGATTACTAAGCTTAGAGGGTCTAAGAAACTCATTTGGAGGAGAGTCTAGAGATCCCCCTTCCTTTATTTGCTAAAACAAAGATTACCTCCCATGTGTTCTCAGACCTCCAAGCATTTCTTCTTAATGCCACTAAACCATTTAAACCAGCAGTTCTTAATATGGGGCCATAAACTTGTTCAAAAATTTTTTATGACTACATTTCAATATAATAGATTTTCTTTATAATCTTATGTAACCCTGGATAAGTCACTTAATTCCTGTTTGCCTCAGTTTCCTCATTTGTAAAAGGGGGTTTTGCCCCTACCTCCCAGGGTTGTTGGGGGATCAGATAAATTGCAATCGTGAAGTGCTTAGCACAGTGCCTGGCACATAACAAGAGCTATATAAATGTTAGCTATTATTATAATTCTATTTTATGCATTTTAAACATTATTCTGAGAAGGGGTCCATGGATTTTTCCAGACTGCCAGAGGGGTTCATGACATAGAAAAGATGAAAAACTCTTGCTGTAAACCCGAGAGCCACTCATTAGCTGGAGATCAGTGATGTAGCTTGCTAAGGGTCCATGCCAAATAGGGCTCAGATCTGCTTAGGAAAAGTATCAGCGTCATTGGTGTTAGAAGGTGATAAATCAGGCCAACTACCTCTTTTCTTTGTTTGTGCTACTGTAAATCTTCCTCCTTGTGTGAAGGAACCCCTGTCCTGTAGTACATTAGTTACAGATGGGTTCATTGGGCAAGACCAAAGGGCTAGGCAGGTTTTTTGGACTTTCATTGGGAGCTGGGGAGGGTCAAGGCCCCCTTTAAACATCCTTTGAAGAGCCTACCTGAGAGTGCAAGCTAAGCCTGGAGACTCATCACCAGGTGTTTGGCTTTGACCCTTGAGGTAAGGGGGAGCCAGCTCAGTTTTGGACTTGGCTCCTCCCCTCGTGTTTCAGAGTGCTAGGCTGATGGCAGAATGTTGGCCCCCTTGGTCCTGAGCTACTCTTGGGCAGCTAGCTCTCTAGATTCTGGTCCATCTAGACTTGACTCAATGGGCACTTTAGGGAGTAGAGGGGTGTGTTGTGGAGGACAGCATCCTCCATTTAGATACTCAGGTTTCGCTGAGAGTACAGCTGGCTGGATTGTTTACTGCCCTGCTTGGAGTTGGGGGTTGGATGCGATCACCTCATGGTCAGGAAGAGATGGATGGATTGACTTAAAGGGGGCCCAGTGGGGGAGTGTATTCCAGTGAAATGGTTGCAGCTGGCCCTGCTTTGGACTTTCTGGGGAATCTCCAGGCTGGGTTTCCTTGCACATCTGTTTCCTGCTGACAGAAGATCTTTGTTCACAGGCACAAGGGGAACGTGACGGGCCCTGGTACAGGCCAGCTAGGCTCCCTCCTCCTCGTGAGCTCAGTGTGAGGCAGCAGTGTGCCCCTTCAGCATGTCCAGGAGTGAGGCCACCACGGGGTTGGGAGGCCGTTGTGTTGGGGGCATTACTTGGGGGCGGCCTTCTGTGTAATCGTAACAGTTGACAATCTGTAGTGCTTTTAAGATTTGCAAAATACTTTGCGTATGTTATGCCATCTGAGCTCCCAACAACCCTGTCAGTTAAGTACAAAAGGTTTATTGTTTCCATTTTATAGATAAGGAAGAAAGTGACCACTTGGGCCCCATTTAATAGGGCAGGAGTTGGAGTATAGTGTGAGGGGAACCTAGCTCACTGTTTTTCCAGGTTGAGCATCTTTATCTGACATATAGAAAAGCAAGACCTGAGGATACAGAAGAAGGTCAGAGGAGAAGGAAAGAGGGGCAGGGGCTGGGCATGGGATAATAGGGGAGAGGTTGTGGGGAAACCAGAGAAAAGGAAAATGGTTTGGAAGAATTTCTGTGCATTTGAAATCAGATTAAGCACATGTAAGTGTTGGACAAAATACAGGCAAATCATTATCTTTGGTTTTTGGATCAGTCCAGTGGTGTAGACACTGGGCCACAGGTGTGGCAGTGGTAATCATTTAATCAATCTCTGAACTCTGGTGAGGCCAGCCAGTGGCGTGCCCCCCCCCCCCAACCGGGCCCAAGCTAGCTTTGTGGATCCTGTGACTAGGATACTGTAGAATGCTTTCATCTTCAAGTAGATTCGACTATGGAATGATAGCTCGCACTTGCATGACACTGCAAAATACTTGCCTACAAACAGTTCTATCAGGTAGGTAGTAAAAATAGTAACCTCTTTCCATCTTATAGTTAAGGAAACTGAGGCCTTAGGAGCTGAAGTGAATTTGCCCTTGATCATACAATTGGCAAGCACTGGAATCAGACTCAATCCAGATCTCCTGGCTACAAGTCTATTGTTTTTTTTCTTCTTAAATGTTTCTGTTTATTGTTTTATGTTTTCACTGCCTTTTATTTTGGGGTCTTATTCCATCCCTTCACCCTTCCCTACCAATCAACCATCCCTTCTAACAAAGATTAGAAAAGAAAGAGGGGAAAAAAAAAGTTCACCAAAACTTAATGAACACATTGACCATGTCTGATAGTATGTACAGTATTCTGCACCCATAGTTCCCTAACTCTCCAATGGAAGGAAGGAGATAAATTTTCTCCAGGTGACAGTAAGGGTAAATGCTTATCTAGGGTTAGAGTTGGTCATTGTAAGCACGTTGTGTTCCATCCCTTCTTCTATCGTCCCTACCCCCTTCCCCATAACAAGTAAGTAGCGCAGTTTGATTATCCTAGTTTTAGAATGAGGGATCTAAGGCATAGGTTAATGACTTGTTGAAGGTTCCATGGTTGGGGGATGGCAAAGCCATGCCTTCTAATTTCGCATCCATTGCTGTCCATCTATTCAGATCCATCCACACTTGACTGTGCTTTAACAACAGCAAACAAAACAATAATACTCTCTTGCATTTCTGCTTTATAATTTTTCAAGCTTGTCCCGCCTCTCTGAGCCTCACAGCAACCATGTAGGCAGACTGGGTATGATTATCCCCATTTTATAGATGAGATGAACTAACTTTCCCAAGGTCCTGTGGCCAGAAATGGGTGGCACTGGGATTGGAACTCAAACCTAGTGAACCTAGAACCTAGGGCCCTTTCTTCCATGCACGCTGTCCCTTGGACAGGCCATGGCATTCTTGCCTCTGTGTCATTGCTCAGTGCAACTCCCTGCTCCTGGAGTGACTCCTTGCCATATCATAATCTCTTCACTCTGTGAGCCCTTACTTGACCTTTAGTGATGTCTGTGAACTCCCTCTGCATTTATTGTCACATATTAAAGGCAGTGGATAGAGGTCTGGGCCTGGGGTCAGGAAGACCTGAGTTCAAATATGACCTCAGACTCTTATTAGGTGTGTGACCCTGGTAAATCATTTCACCTCTGTTTGCCCCAGTTTCCTCATAGGTAAAATGGGAATCATAATAGCACCTACCTTGAAGGTTGGTGAGGATCAAGTGAGATAATATTTGTAAAAAATACTTAGCATGGTGCCTGGCACATTAGTAACACTGTGTAAATGCTTAATCCCTTCCTTCTCTTCCTATGGCACCTTGTTATGCACTCCCTTGTGTAATCCTTTGTGATTCTCTTTTCTTGTGTGTGCCTTGTGCTCCTTGAGGATGAGGTCCATGGCTTATATTTCATTTGTACGCCCCAGTGCTGAACACATAGTAGGTTTTTAATAAAGACTGACTGAATGAATAAATAGGAGTTGGGGGAGGGACACAAATCAGCTCCTCTACATGCAGAGATTTTGACTAAGAGTTTGTGTTTGTCATTGCAGACGGAAGGGACCAGGCTGCAAAAGGATCTCCGCACCTACCTGGCATCTGTCAAAGGTAAGGTAGGACTTTCCATGGGTGCATTTTCCTTGACCAGAGCAAGGGGCAGGGTTTTCCATGACCATCTCTATAGCCTGTATCTTGGGAATGACTGGGGCCCAGGTGTCTTCTCTGATTTTTTCTGTTGGATGGATGAGGGGACTTGGGCACCTTGGTTTAGGTATATTTGGCTCAGGTCAGAGTTATTTTTAATGCTGATGCTAATCTGAGAGGACAGCCTGAAAGCGATGGCATACTAGGAATTGCCTCCAGGTTTGTATTTATATTGGATCCCCTAAGAATTATCAGCCAGAGTGTACAAATGAACATGCATTTGACAGGCTGGGGCCTGAAGGATCCTGGTTAGGCAGCCCTGTCTGATCTTTATTCCATTTTGGTGGGAACCACGACTAGGGCTGGTTGCAACTAGAAGCCAGGGCCTCTGATAGGTGGGATCAGAAGGAATCTGAGGAAGTGGGAAAAGGTTTGGGGTTGGTGGGCAGGAAGGGAAGGAAGAGCCCTTGATTCTTCCCCCTTCTGCCTATGGATTCTGCATTGAGCTCTTCTATGTCCCTTTCAGCAATGCATGAAGCCTCTAAGAAGCTAACGGAGTGTCTGCAAGAGGTGTATGAACCAGACTGGCCCGGGAGAGAGGAGACAAACAAAATAGCGGAAGTAAGATTGTGGTCTGGGGCTGGGAGCAGGGGAGTGGAGACCAGGGGAGAAAGGAAATGATTTTTAAAAATGGTGATTGACAGTCAGGAAGAGTCTAGCCTGGCAGGAAGATGGAGTTATAGGGGCTCAGTCATCTTGGTCAGAGAGAGAGACATATCTGGCCATGTCTTTATTCCCCTATCAGTCAGTGGAAGCATATTTATTCCCACACTTCCCTTCCGCTGACTGAAGTGTATGTCTTCTTTCCTCTGAAAGGTTGGGGAAGGAAGAGCAAATTAAAAATAAAAAGTAAAACCTGGTCAAGAATGAAATGTGGTAAGAACATTGGACTGGAAGTCCAGAGATCTCAGTTCTAGGTCTGCCCCACTCCAGTAATTTGCTGTGTGACTGTGGGCAAGTCATTGTACTGCTTTGCCTCAGTTTCCTCATTTGTTAAATAAGAGGCTTAGACTAGATGGTCTTTGAGGTCTCTTTTAATATAATTCTTTGGTGGTAGTGGAATTTGCTATAATTTAAAATGTGTAGATTTGGAACCTCAGCTTTATCAGCTTCCTCGCTGTAAAGTGAGAGTGTTCCATGATTTCTTGGGTCCCTTTCAGCACTGATTCTATGTGTATAAGTATGTAATTTTAAATGCCTAAGAATATAAAATAAGGGAATTGGACTCAATGGTCTACAAGAGTCTAGCTCTAAATAAAATTCAGACTTGATTGAATGCAAATGTTATCTAAAACCAGTGAGGCCTTCCTATTTCATAAGCTTAGAAATCACCCCCATGGTTGATTCCCTTTAGCCAATCATAAGCCCGTACCATCTCTTCCTAAATGTGGGAATTGTTTTCAGAGGAATCAGTGATGCTTTTGTTTTATTCCAACTGCCAACTTGACGTTACAATTTTAAACTCTTGTCAGGTCCAATTCTTGATGTTAACTTGGACGTTACTGGTCCAATGTCTGGCTTTGGATCCCAGGGTCCTTCAGAGCAGTTAGAATGTTTGTTCATTAGGGATCTTTGCACTTTTATGTTACCAGGTCTAATTTGCTTTTGTTGCTATTGTTACTGCTAGTTTTAACTAAAACTTTTATTGAAATCTCATGCCTGTGAGATGAAGACTCTCCCCCTTCCCCAATGAAATCTCTCTGTTACATTTAATTCAACCTTAGAAATATTTCTCTATTAGATTGCAAGGTCCTTGAGGGAACACTTCAGTGTTATTCATCTTTGTTTATCCCTCAGATCCTAACACATGCTTCAACTTAACCTCTGTGTTTGAAAAAGTCTATGATTTCACCAGCATCTATATTCCTTCTATTGTAGATTTTAGCCCTGTATATCTTAGTCGATGTCATCTTTATGATTAGCTGTAGTTAGAAAATAGCATCATTTGATGGCCAGCTCTCCACACTCAGACTGGTCCTTGGATGGCAGACAGCTAGCTCCTCACTGGGCCCGTATTTGAAGCCTTTCCAGCTTGGTTGGATCTGGACAATCTTGTTTATAATCTTCAAGAGTCCAGACCCATCTCCATCACATGATGAGCCTTTGGAGGACTTTAGTGACGAATTTGTACATAACAAGATTGTAATAAATATCTGTTAAATTGATGGGACCTCAGTAAGGGCAACTTAAGTCGGTGAAAAAAAGAGGCAGTAGAGAGTGGTGAAAATAAACTGAAAGGAGAAAAATTAGGAGAAGAAATACTTCAGGACTATAGATTTAGAGCTGGAAGGAGACCTTAGATCCCTTTTTGTCCAAACCTTTCAATTTAAAAATGAAGAAATTGAGATCAAGGGATGTGAAATGACTTGTCCAAAGTCACAGAAGTAGTAAGCATTAGAGGTAGGATTTGAGCCCAGGGCCGCATACTTGGCTGTTATATTTTTTTCCTTTGCTTACCATGCCTCCTAAAATCAAGACTATTTAATATCTGACCTTAAAAGCCACAAGAAATGATACAACATAATCTGAGTGAACAGTAATAGTAGATGTAATTGATTTAAGGTTTGTCAAGGGCTTTCCATATACTGTTTCACCTGATCCTCACAACAATACTGGGAGATAGGTACCATTAGTCCCATCTTATAGGTGAGAAAACTGAGTCTCAGAGACATTAAGTAACTTGCCCCAAGGTCACAGGTCAGATGTAAGATTTGAACCCAGTCTCTCCTGCCTCAAAATCCAGTCTTTCCATTGCACTGTGTTGCTTTTCTAACTGTGGCCCATCTTGCTAGGTTATTCCTTAGTTATGACCCTGAGGAAAATCCATATGACCTCTTATAAAAGACATGTTTTCTATATAGGGAAAAAAAAAGAAAAGTCAGAGGAATTTGGGCTGTTGGAAGACTTTTCTTTAAGGTAGACTAAATATGAACTTGGAGAAGGCAAGAGGGCAGACTGGCTGACCCAGCAGCATGAGAGGCCTCAAGGGCTGATTCCTCATTCACTGAAGGCATTTAGAGGCAGAGAAAGGGAAACCACAGAGAAGAAAATACAAGCCAAGGGATCAGAGCTAGGGAGATGGGGTGGGGCTGTGAGGCTGAGTAAAGAGGGAAAGGGGAGTGGAGCACATGGTGTGTCTGGTCAACTTCCTATTAAGAGGGGGAGCTGTTGTCACAAAACATCCCTTCTTTGATCTACCTCCATGGACAGAAGAGTCAAACCTGGATGGAGGGTGAAGAAGGGTGGTTAGAGGGGTCACCAGCAAGTCTCACGCCTGAAATCCTGCCATAGGAAATTCATTTCTAATTTAGGTCTTGAAGGGTTTTCCAGCTTCAGGAATCCTTGACTATACTTGCAGATACCTTGACAGAGACAGAAAAGTGGCAGATGAAAGCCAGGCTCTGGGGCAATAAAACACACGAGGTGGGATCCTGGGACTGTGGAACATCATTAAAATCAGGATATAGGTACTGCTAGGGGAAGCTAGAGAGTGACAGAGAATCTTTATAATTTTGTGGCTTTCTCCCCTCCTTTTTCCCCACCTCTCAGCTGCATTGTCTAACCACCAAAAGCAAATGCTGCTCTTAAACCAATGAGAGAGTATGGTCAGAGCATGGTACATGATACCCTGCAACCAGTGGGAAAGCTAAACATGGAGGCTGCATGCTTACACAACGCAGAGTTGGGGATGGAACAGCCCCTCTCTTGGTTAGCCAGAGAAAGCTTTCCAGAAAAGCTGGAATTTCTGGAGCTATCAGTTGAGGGGATAAGATTGAGGAGACTGTTGCCTTCAAAGATCTTGTCCTGCCAAAGCTCTTGCCACTTAGCGGTTTCTGGGTTGGCAGTCATCGTGAAGATGACCTGTTAGAGGAATATGTGTAGTGCCTAGTATGGCTAGTTCTGGGCTTGGAGAGATCTAGAGACTTGGGTTCTAGTCCTGATTCTGCCACTGACTTGATGTGTGACCTTGGTCAAGTCACCTAACTTGTATGACCTTCAGTTTTCTCACTTTCTAAAAAGGAGAGACGCTTGGGAGAGCAACTGGGAGAGGATTTAAGATAAAAAATATAAAAGCAAAAATCACTGTGAAAATGACTATGATGATTATAATATTTACCTCTCAAAGGTCTTGTTTTCTTTCTCCAGACTGGAACTTATCTTCTCCATCTTCCCAAAGAGTATTCATTCTTCAAGTGCCATCTCCTTTGTGATGTCTTCCCTGATTAGTCTAGTCCACACTCACCTCTCCATTCTCTGAACTCATTAGAGTATTCTACTTCTAGCCTAAATCATACACAGATCAACCCTTGAATATAAGTAAAGTCAACAAGCATTTATTAAGCACGTGCTGTGTTCCTGGGACTATGTCCTCTGCAGAAGGCACTAACCTGAGAGAAGGAAGTTCTGAGGTCCATTTTCTTTTAAAAATAAATTTTTTATTGACGTCTTTGTTTTTATGTCACCAAATTTCCTCCCTTTGATTCCTTCCCCCTCCTCAGATGAGCCAGCCTATATAACAAAGAAATTTTTTAAAAAGAAAAAGAGGAAAAAAAAATCAGTAAAAGCAGTCAGTGTATGGGAAAAAAATCTAATAATATAGGCAACATTATCTGTGATCCATTTTCTTTCATTTTAAAGTTTTATTTTAAATATTTATTTTTATTTAAATAAAATATTTTAAACAAATTTTTATTGATGTCTTTTGTTTTTTACATCACCAAAAATTTCCCCAGTATTATTCTCCCTCCTGATCCCAGAGAGCTTTCCCATATAATATTTTTTAAAGAAAAATAAAAAAAGAAAAAGAAAAGAAAAACCCCAGCAAATATCAGTATATCAAAAAAGCCTCAAAATGTATGCAATGTACCACACACATGGACTTCCTACCCCTGCAAAGGGATGTTATAGGGATTTCTTCTCAAAGCTCTTTTTTCTAGCTATTCCTGTTCTTTGTAATTTTGTTAATGTTTACTTTTTTTGGGAGGTTCTTTCAACTTGCGTTGTTATAGTCATTTTGTTTTCAGTCTTTCCCCTGCTCACAGAAGTCTACCCCTTTTGGACCTTAGTTTGTTCATCTGTAAAATAAGTGATCTCCCCTTACCTATCCCACCTAGGCCCACAGGGATTAGTAAGTATACTAATTGCTTATATGTGTATATTTTTCAAATCACTTTTAACTAATTATAATAAAAATAATTTAAAAAATGTATTTACATACCATAAGTGATTCTCATGACTGAGGTGGTAGTGGGAAGCTGGCAATGTGTATATTGTGACCATTTCAGTGTATATATGCCTATTACAGAACAATGACCTGCTGTGGATGGATTATCATCAGAAACTGGTGGACCAGGCGCTTCTGACCATGGACACATATCTAGGCCAGTTTCCTGACATCAAAGTAAGAAGCCCACCTTGATCTGAAATTGCTGTTGCTTCTGGAGGCTGGGGTAGGGAGACTGGGAAAAGGAAAAACAAAATAACTTTACAGTAGGTAATCTCATTGGCCCACGGAGGTTGCCTTTCCTCCAACTTGAAAACATGAAGCCTGAAAGGGCCCCTTTTTGCCTCTTTCCACCACTAGATGGAGGTTGCCAGGTGCTATATGGGGCTCTGTGTTTCAGATGCGCTTAGGTTCCTGATAACTTAGCTGAAAAAGGAAGGAAGGAACATGTGGTTTATGGTATTTTGAGGGGGGGCAGGGTGGGACAAGGATAGTCCAAATGAGAAAGTTGGTTCTCCTTCTTTAATTAGTATCATGGCCTTGGAGGGGGGTGGGGGATCAGAGTATTTTGGGAAACTATGGCAGAGCAACTCTGAGAATTAAAAGAGCTGGGCTTGAATGGGAGAAGAGACAGGGAGCCTGGTACCACTCACTACCTTTAGCCTGGGATTGAAAATTAGCTCAGGCCAAAGATCTGAAGGAAATAAAACGAGGTGGACCAGGAAGAATTCTAATCAAATTGTAAATATGTACTTTAGCTTAAGTTGTCTTCCTTTCTACCCTTCTCTAACATCCATTTTCCTTACCTCCTCATTTTTCTTCTTTCTCTTTTTTTCAACTTTGTTTTCTTTCTTCTCTTTTTTCTTTCCCTCTTTTGTGCTCTCTTGCTTTCTTCTTTCTCTGCTCTTCTCTCTTCTCACTCTTTTGCTTTTTTCTTTTCCTTTCTTTTCTATTTTCCTACCTTTTTTTCCTCTGCTTTTCCTCTCTTTTCTTTTCTCCCCTTATTTCTTCTCTTCCCTCCGTCCCTCCCTTCCTTTTCTCTTTTCCCCTCCTCCTTCCCTCATTTTCTTTCTTCTCTTTTCCTTCTTTCTGCTCCTTTTTCCCTTCTTCCTTTTCCATCTTTTTTCTCTCCTTTTTTTTCTCTTTTCCCCTTCTCTTTCTTCCTTCCTTTTCTCCCTCTTTCCTCTCTAATCACTCTTTTTTTTCTTTCTCTTCTCTGTTCTCTTATGTGCTCTCTCTTTTCTTTTCTCTTTCTTCCCTCCCTCCAAATTCCATCATCATTTTTGGTTATGAATGAGCCAGGCTTACACATAGATATGTGTTCTCTGTCTTCAGGGAACTCATCTTCTTGGATGGTCAAGATTATCACATGCAGACATACTTATAACAGCCATGAGGCAGAAATTATTTAAACAATGAGGCCAGTACATTCACATCAAGTTTCATATCCCTTGCAAGCTTCTAAAAGTATCAGTGCATTGAGTGATGCAAGGGGCCTAGGGGAAGTTAGGAGTTTGTGTAGAGACATCACCATCATTCATTCAGTTAGGCTAGAAGGACTTCCTGGAAGAAGGGCAGTTTTAAGAATTGTTTGGTCTTGTTGCTATGGGTTTTTAAGTATATGCCTTTTTCAATGGGTTGTGCCCGGGTTTTTCAGTTTGGGAGTAGTAGAGGGTCAGTGTCCTGATATACTTTGAGAATGAAAAGTATTGGAGATTTGAACTCAGCTGGCTTTCTGGGCTTTTGGTTTTTATCTTCATTTGAGAGGGAGAGAGAGAGAGAGAGAGAGAGAGAGAGAGAGGAGAGAGAGAGAGAGAGAGAGAGAGAGAGAGAGAGAATGTGTGTGTGTGTGTGTGTGTGTGTGTGTTGTGTGTGTGTGTGTGTGTATTGGGAATTGAAACAGGAAATGGAGGTGCTATCTCAGAGAAAAACCTATTAACTAGTTTGGAGAGTAGATTGGATTCTCTGCAGGGTGAGTGGGGGTGAGGGTGGAGATGAGGAGTAAAGGTAGTGTTCATTCATCTCACCCCCATATTCTAGTATTGGCTTCCTTAGTGTAATCAGTATAGTTGAAGTGATTATGTTAGCACAGACCTTATTTCTTTGAATGTCTATTCTACACCATTGGCTATCTCTGTACATATATTTTTTTAACATTAAATTACATCTTTTTAATTAAGAAAAATTTATTTTCTCTCCTTCCAACTTTTCCTTATTAGAAAACAACAATAACAACAAAACACTTATAAAAAATATGCAAGCCAAAAAAGAAAATCCCAAATTGGCTATATCCAAAAATGTGTGTCTCACTTACACTTTGATTCCATTATCTCTCTTTCTGTCAGTTTCTCTCTGTCTCTGTCTCCCTTTGTCACTTACACTTCCCTGAATTCTTGCATTATCTCTCTCAGTGGGTAGGCCTAATATGGGTTCCTTAGACCTTTAAGTGACTATGTCTGAGCCCAGCCTTCACCTTAGCCTCAGACTCTAGAAATGATTCAAGTTATTAGAGCTATATCAGCCTATGTTGGCTAACTATTGGGATCATGATAATTCAGGGGATCATGAATTCTCTTATTATAAAGGCTGAGCCATTCTAAGAGTGCCTGAGCATCTCTGGAGACCCTGCTTTGTTTGTGTTAATTAGTTTAGTGATTATAGCATGGACTTCATATGGTCAAGTTCATGGAACATATTCCCTTTCAGTCTTACTCCCTCCCCCCCCCCCCCCCAAGTCCTGGCTCAAAGTGCTTACTTCACAAAGATTTGTGAGTGAAGTGGGCTAATATGCCTCAAGTTTGGGATGACCCAGCTATACTTCCTACTAAATGGTCCCAGTGGCCCAGCCCTTCTCTGGAGCTTCTGATACCTCAAACCTAAGAGAGAGACACAGGCTGTACTTCTTAGAGGCCTTGGCACTAGTAAGCACTGGAGCCCAGGTAGTATCCCTTTTGGAGGAAAATGGGGAGGATTCCCATTCTGCAAAACTCGCCTATCTTGTACCTTTACACTGACCTCTGGTTCACTGGATCTGTCACTGGGACAGATCCAGTGGGGTGATCCTAGAATGACACTTTGCCAGGATTCACCCAGAGTCCAGGAATGCTCCCATGGAAGTGGAGGTAGGATAGCTATCTTTATAAGAAAATCTGGTCACCCAAATCTCAGGCTTGGGGGTGGATGGAATGACCTTTTGGCAAACTTGTGATTTAAACAACTGGCTTGCAAAACCTCCCCCAGAATTCAGCCATTCAATGATTGCAAGTTTTTACTGAGTACCTGCTATATATTGTATTGAACACTAGGAGTGATACAAGAGGACAAGACATTCCTGTAGCCTACCCTCAAGGATCTTATGAAGAAGGTTGCAGAGACAAATCATAGATAAATGAAACGAGAATGATACTCTATGTGTATGTGTGTGTCTTTCCACACACATATGTATGTGTGTATATTTTTATATATACATTTGCATGCATATATATATATATATATATATATATGTGTGTGTGTGTGTGTGTATTTGTAGGTGTTAAGTTGGGTGTTAGAGGCACTCAGTGAAATAGGAATTTATTCAAAGAAGTGAGATCTGTGAATTAGTCATCAGAGGAGTCTTCATGAAGAGGTGGGTGGGAGTTGTATGAGTCAGTCAGTAAACATTTATTAAATGCCTACTATGTGCCAGGCGCTGTACTAAGTGCTGGTGGTTCAAAGAAGGGCAAAAATAATCCATGTCCTAAAGGAGCTCACATTCTAATTGGGGAGACCACACATAAACAACCACGTACATTGAAACCATAGGCAGTGTAAGTGGAAGATGATCTCAGAGTGAAGGAAGTGGAGAGATGAGGGAGAGAGCCTGGAGACTGGAAAGGCCTCCTCTAGCAGGTAGGATCTGAGCTAGATCTTGAAGGAAGCCAAGGAGGTCGAGTCAGAAGGGAGGAGGGAGACCATTCCAGACATGGGGTATGGCCAGTGAAAAAACAGGGATTCAGGTGGTAGAGTCCTGCAAAATGGGTAGGTTTTAGATAGGTGAAGAGGAAGAGTATCCCACAAGCCTGGGAAACACAAGTAAAGGCACTGAGGTGGGCATGCATTCCCATTTGTGGGAGAACATGATGGGAAGAGGTCTGATTGCTCTTTCCCTGCCCCATCCTAGTAGTGATAACACATTTGTCATCCTTGTAGAGCATAAACCTTAAGGAAGAAGGTTGATGGGCTTTTAGTATAGAACTGTAGACTTCCTTGCCCACAGAATCATGTCCTTTAGAACTAGCTGGTGTCACGGAGGCTACAAGGTTCTTTTGTGATTCCCTGCTAAATTTTTCTTTTCTCTCACTTTGTATTCCCTCCACAGTCTCGAATTGCTAAGCGTGGGAGGAAGTTGGTGGACTATGACAGTGCCCGCCATCATTATGAGTCTCTTCAGACTGCCAAAAAGAAGGATGAAGCCAAAATTGCCAAGGTATAAGTCAAGGGGGTTGGGAGTGTGGGTGTAGTTGGAGGTGGGACAAGGTGGGGGACCAGTGGGTATTGACAAGTTGAGGTACAGGACCTCCTTCCCCTCCTGTAACTAATGAAGTAACCCAGAAAGAGAAGTGTATTATTTTCTGTAACAAGTGGAAGAAGATTAATGGACTTGCCCCAAGGTTTTCTGGGCCCTGTGATGAGAGGGGAAGTGCTGATTTAGCCTCCTCAAAAGAAGTCTTTCCTTCTCTATTAAATCTTAATCCAATTGTAGTAGCTTTCTGAACTTTTCCAAAATGTTTTCATATCCTCCCTCATTTGATTCTCAATACAAGCCAGTTCAGTAGATGGGGCAGGTATTTTTATCCCCGTTTTAAAGGTGAAGAAAATAAGGTCCTGAGAGGACGTGATATGCCCCAAGCCTGCCAGCTTCTGAGTGGCAGAGGTGGGTTTAGAATCTGGGTCTCCTAACCCACTAGTCTCTGAGAAATTTGGACATTTTAATCTTGTGCTGGGTTAAGAGTAAATTGTGCCCTAGCTCCCCAGCCCTGATGGTGGGGGGCTCTGTCCCTCCTCCCCTCCCCCATGCTTCTTATCCTTCTCTCTCTCAGCATCTTCTCCCATTCCATTTTTGGGAGAATGCCCAGCTTGACTCCTGATTCACCATCCCCTTGATCCCCTCCTCTGAAGTGACTTTCCTGAATAAGAACAGTGACCCAGGGCTCTAGTTTCACTGAACCAGATGCCACCCCTCCCTTGCACCCCTGGGCATTGGCCCATGGTGCCCTGCCCTATGTCCTGAGAGAAATTCTGTCTTGGTGATTTGATACTGCCCTTTATGGAACTCTGAACTGACCCCCTCCTCTGGACTGGGCAGACCTGTGGAAGTCAGCAATGGGAACTTTCTCCTATGAGCTCCTATGGGAGCTTTGCTGGAGGCAAAGCTTCACTCAGTAACTTGTTCCCTCCCTCAGCGCTAGGGTGGACCCCGGTTCTCCCCCACTATTAACAGCTCTTTTGTTTGGCTTTGTCTAGCTGGAGTTCTTCATGACCCCTCCCCACGCCAAGGTCTTAATCGTCCACTAAGCTGGGCATCTGGAGGACTCTGCTCACTGAGCGGCTGCCTCCTCTGTTTGGCTGGGGATTCAGGGTGGCCAGTAGAGATAACTGTCTATAACTGCATTGTGTTTGGATCTGTGTGTCTAAAATCCATGTTTCTGTCTCTTTTTTCTCTCTCCCTCACCCTGTTGTTTTTTCTCCCTCTCCTTTTTTTTTGCCTTGACCTTGCTTCCCACCATGTCCCATTCCCCCATGCCCTCCACTCTCCTTACTCTACCCTGACCCCTCAGCCTGTCTCGCTGCTTGAGAAAGCTGCCCCCCAGTGGTGCCAAGGGAAACTGCAGGCTCATCTCGTAGCTCAAACTAACCTGCTCCGAAATCAGGTGATGGCTTCCTAACCTTGCTTGAATTGCCTTCTGGCTGCCCTTCCCCTGTCTTTCTCTGTAAGGCCCTATATCTCTAGCTCTTGCTTTCTCTGTCCTGCTCTCCTCAAACAGACACCTTAGGGCCCTGGAGGCTGTGATTTCATCTGTCTCCCTTCCTCTGAGACACTCCCAGAGTCAGGTTAGGAAACTTGCCCTACATCACACAGTCACTCAGAGGCCAGACTTTTTGACTCCCAGGCTCTTCCCAGGGCACAATTCTCCCTGCTAACCTCGGCCTGTTAAAAAAAATGTTCTCAATACTAAACTGAGACAATTGGCTTACCATTAGAGCCTGCTTGTCTCTGTCCCCTCAACCTGGCAATCCTGATTCCATGGGTGGTTTCCTGCTCTACCCTCTCCTTCCCTAAAATCTCAGTCATCCCTGCCCCATAGGTCCCTTCCAACTTTTAAGTGTCTGTGATTCAAGGACTCTGAGTCAATTTGGGGAATCTACAGAGATTGACAGGTGAACTTTCAAATAAGCATTTATTGAATACCACTTGTGTGCTCAGTCCTATACTAAGTGCTTGAGGGCTTGGGTTGGGGGGAATAGATAGAGAAAGAGAAGAGAAAAGTTCTTGCCCCAGTGAGCTTTTTTGCAGATGCAAGGCTAATCAATGTCAAATGAGTAGAGAATAGTGCACCATCCCTTGTGAGGTTGTGTGTGGGGTTTAGAGTGGAAGTGCTGTAGGAGTTCAGAGAAATTAAAATCAGTTTGCTCTGAGGCAGTGTTGGAAGGCTGTCAAGAGAAGGAGCACCTGGGCAAGACCATAAAAGTTGGAGAGACTTTGAATAAGCTGGCCTGACCAAAAGCTTTCAGAAGTGAGCAGAGCACAAAAATCCTTTGAATCTCAGAGTATTGGCAGAGGTTTTTCTTGCCAAGTCCCTGTTCCTCTTCCATGACCTACACTGTCTCTTGGTTACTTACTCCTAGATATTTAAAAAAAAAATCCTTGAAGCAAAGAGACATCATTAACAGATTGCCTCAACCATCGATTTAACTATTTCACCCGGATTGCTCACTTGGTAATTTAGCATTTAGCATTGCTGAGAACCCTGAAATATCGGAACAGGGCAGTATTTTCCTGGAATGAATTCACTCACGCAACCCCTTCTTCTAGTCAAATGGCCAAGTTTACTGTAACGCCAGTAGGGCAGGTCAAGGTCTTAGGGAACTAATGAGGATGAAGTCGATGCTTATATACAAAAGCTATAGTGAAAGAATCTAAGGTTGGGTTAAGGAGTGGTAAGTAGTCTAAGTTGGGCCAGGTGCTATGGTGAAAGGAATGTCAAGTGGGCTAATTAGGTAACCTGGGTTGCTTCCAGAGACTTGGACTTTTTCCTTTCTGGGTCCAGGTCCTATCACCCCATCATTACTACATTCCCAGTTTTATAGTAGATCTGATGTTATTGCTACTCTGTTATAAAAATTCAGGGAAAGCTCTGCCTGGGGGTGGGGTTGGGTGGGAGTAGAATAGTAAAATAAAGAAAGAGAGGAAAAAAAGAAAGTAAAGGAAGAAGATTTTTCATTTGATCCACTGTCTGGTTTTTCCATTCTGTCTGCTGCCTGATTTTTTAATCCTCCTGAAAAAATTAATGAATACTTGTTAGGAATAGTGATCAGGTCTCATTGCTTGGCTGCTTTTATACTTGGGGCTCAAGAATCAGGGCTGATTTTCATGGATCTCCTGATGTACTAGTGAGAGACAACTCTAAGGGAACTGGGTACTTAAGCCCTGGGAATGGAGGTCAAAGAATGCTGTAGCCAGACATCATCATCTCTTTTCTGTGCCGATTATGGTACAGCTTGGTCTGGAGACAGGGGAATGAACAAAATGACAGTACTGGGCAGTGACTTGCTTAGGTGGGCCATTCTAACTCATTCTCTGCTTATGACTCCATCAGTGCATGTCATTTGGGAATAGGAGGGAGGGGAAGTGGTGAGGGGCAGTCTCATTGGCTGAATCAACTCAAGGAACTCCCAGAGAATTCCTTGGGGCTGGAGGAGCAATCACTGTTGACACAAGGCCAGATTTTTTTTTTAAGTTTTCCTGAAACGCATCTGGCCAGTGGCCAGGCCTTCCTAGCATAACCTGCGGCAAAGGATTCTTGGGTAGAGTCAACCAAGAGGTGGGTCTTAGCTATATCCTTAGGGTAGAGGCTGGGGAGGAGTGTTTCTGACCTCTTTTCATTGCTGTATTGCTGCTATCAGGGATGATGGGTATTGTTGGACTGGGGTCCTCTAGCTTGTTTTACCCTATTACTCACCCTTGGCATAAAGTCTTGGCCAGAGCTGAGGGAGCAAGTGACCCCAGTAAAAACTCCAAAAAACTGCATACGTACACACACTTGCATGTACTTACTTATGTCTTGTTACAGATGTTATGCTTCTCTGCCAAGTTGGCTGTCCTATTTGGATCTGTTTTTTATTTAACCAGAACAGATTTCCCACCCCCAGTCTGTGTCTGGAGTCCAGATAACCTTTGTAATTAACCCTTCTGTGTCTGGTTGCCTGAAACTAGAAATTTCAGAAACCCAGAGCCATCAGGCAATTCCTGTATTTTTTGAAACAACCTGACCCTTAGGTTGGTCCAGAGGAAATCTGACTTCCTTTGAGGAAACTCTTGAGTTTGTTGAACTCAGATTCCCTCACCATCTAGTTGGCATCCACTGGGAATTGATACGGGGTACTTATGCAGAGACTCTGACCTCATGCTAACTCTGATGGCCCTTTCCCTCAAAGCCCAACCTTTGGTCCCCTCTTCCCTTGGTTGGAAAGCTAGAACTTCAGAAGGCCTTCCAGCTCAATTTCTTAGAAGGGATCACCAGGCAGTGCTGAGAAGCTTGTGGGAACTGAAGCCTTTTGGTTTCAGAATGCTGTTTGGGGTGAGAGTGCCCACCATTTATTCATTCAACAAATATTCACTGAGGGACTAAATGCAAGGCCCTCTGCTAGGTATTATGGGAGAGAGACCAAAATGTTTGTGTTATGATCAGTTGCCCAAATAATAATGTGCTTTAAGAGTTCAGAAAAAAGTGGAAGATCCGTGTGGGCTTACATGGTAAGGGGAAGGTTTCATGGAGGAGAGAAGATAATAATAACTCTCATTTATGGGTTAGGGAGTAGAGTCTAATCACTAGACTTATGATTTCACTAATGTGCAGTACCACCTCTGTAATTTAGAGTTTTAGAGATTAGTTTAAAGCACTCAGAGGTTAGGAGTCACCTGGCCACTCTGTTTGAGGGGCAGAACTGGAATCCAGGTCTTTGGGGCCCAAAGACCAGGTTCTCTAGCCCCATAATTGCTGGATTATGAAGGATAGATGGGTTTTAGTTAGGCAGAAAGGAATTGTGGGAGAGGGCAGTATCCTAGGGATGGGAAGGAGTGTTTCTTTCCTGGTCCTGAAGGTTTGCTGAAATGCTAATGGGAAGACTGACATGGCATGACATCTTAGGTGGATGGCACTAGTGACTCTGTAGAAGATGCACTGTGGACCTTTTGGGTGTTTTTGAGGCAAGAGCCACTGTGGGCTGGGTTCCCAAGAATCACAAGTTTAGAAACATATTTGCCTCCCAGCTCCACTTGAGTGTGTGTGTGTGTGCCTGAGGGAGGAAAGAAAGTAGGAAGGCTGGATTTTCTTCTTGGGTGGGGCACAGCAGATTACTGTGTGATGACTCAGAGAAACCGAATCCCTGAGTCACCCTTACCCAGTGAGCTCATAGCCTTTTCCCTCCTGTCAGGAAGTGAGTGACTCATTCTCTCACCTGGTTTGTTTACAGGAGAAAGGTCTTAGCTTGCTACACTTGGTGATTGAGGGCAAAGGGAGGAAAGTGGGGCTGGGAGGGCTTGGCTGGTTACAGGACTGTGTTTCCTATTGGAGTAGCCGTTCTCCTAGAAGGAGATTGCTTCATTTGGATACGCTGCTCAAGGTCACTGAAAAAAACGTGCCTTACGGTTCTCACGTACCCTTTCCCAATGTCCCTTTTTGAACTTAAGTAATGGTGGCATTAAGCCCACAGCTTGTATGTGAGTCAGTAGGATAGGTGCAGAATGATGTCTTTGAAGTGGAGTGAGGGTGGCTTGGGGAGCAGTTTGGGCATCTTGGGATGTCTAGTTGAGGCACTCAGGAATAGGCTTCATGAGCCCTTCTTTAGGAATATTGAAGAAGGGATTCCTATTCAAAGGAGTGGGACACATATGGTCTTTGTTATAGTCACTTGTAACTCAGAGATTTAATGATTCTGAGATCTGGGTTGCTGATTAAGTTGCCCTCCTCACCTTCCCTCATAATACCTTACTATCTAGGTTCTCTTAACTACCCCTACCCATCAGCTCTGTCTTCATCACAGGTATGGTATAAATGTAACTTTTGTAACTTTCCCCCATGCCTGAAACTTATTCAGCTGCTTGCATTGATTTTGAGTGCTTGACTAACATCAAGTTTGACTGACTAGGAGTTAATAAATATTTATTTATTTTTTGAACAGTATTTTATTTTCCCCAATTACATGTAAAGACAATTTTTAACATTCACTTTTTATAAAATTTTGAATTCCAAATTTTTTCCCTTCCCTTTCCCCTCCCTAAGATGGTAGGCAATATAGGTTGTATTAGTCATGTTGTGAAAGAAGAAACAGTTTGCAGAAAAATTACAATTAAAAAAGGGAAAAAATAAAGAAAATGAAAATAGTCTGCGTCGATCTGCATTCAGACTCCATAGTTCTTTCTCTGGATGTGGATAGCATTTTCCATTATGAGACTTTTGGAATTGTCCTGGATCATTTAATAAGTATCTATGTAATAAGCACCTCCTGTGTACCAGTTATTGTGCTAAGAGTGGGGGATGCAAAGAAAGGTTAAAAAACAAACCCCCAGAACCCCAGTCCTTGAGAGCCAGTGAACCTACCTAGAGTCAGGAGATGGAGTGTCCTATGGGAGGAATAGCCAGAAGGCCACTATCATTGGATGGTAGAGTATGTGGAGGAGTATAAGGTGTAAGAAGACTGGAATGATAGGAAGGGGCCATGTTATGAAGGGCGCTAATAGCCACACAGAGGAGTGAGGAAAGGGGAATGGAAGGTTCCAAAGAGGGGGGTAACAGGAAGGGAGCCTAGACCAAAGATTAGGCTGGAAATCCGAAACATGAAGCCAAGGAGATGGAATATCGGTACTTGGTAGAGAGAGGGAATCAGATCAGTCCTTACATATAGGCTTGGCTCTGAGAAATCATAGCTTCTCTGGCTTTACCCAGGGCACTTCCCTTTACCAAAGAAAAAGAGTATTTTATTTTAAAGTGGTAGGAGAATTTTAAAAAATAAAAAAAGTTCACTTTTATGGTACTTAATGTCTTTACAGAAAGCTTTCCTCACAATAAACCTTTGAGGTAGATAATTACAGTGTTATATCCATTTTACAGATGAGGAAACTGAGGCTCAGAAGCCTTAAGTGACTTGTCTGTGGTCACATAGTAACTAATGGAAGCCAGCACTCCAACCCAGATCTCTTGACCAACAGTCCACTGTCTCTCAGCATGAAAATGGACTCCTGAATTTCGTGCTGCTGCCTGTCTTGAAAGCAGGGTTATTCTTTCTCTGGGGTTTCTGCACTTGACTGTGGGGAACGTGACAATAAATTTGGAGTCTAGAGATGATATGAAAAGGCAGGGTAGTGTGGTAGAAAGAACAACCAAACCTCGAAGCCAGGTATGGAAATTCTGGTACCTCCTGCCTCCCCATCCCTGCAACTTAACTCTGTGACCTTGGGCGAGAGTCTTAACCAGGGGTGGGGAACCTATGGCCTCGAGGCCACATGTGGCCCTCTAGGTCCTTATGTGCAGCCCTTTGGCTGAATCTAAACTTCACAGAACAAATCTGTTCCCTACCCCTGGTCTTAACCTTTCTAGGCCTCGGATGCATCTTATGTAGATTGTGGTTAATATCTGAAGTTGGGGCTGAATCCAGTGATCTCTGGATGGCCCTTCCTGATCTTTCCATAGACCTTAACCATGATTCTATATGGTTTTCTTCCCAAGATGACAGTAACTTCCCTGTGCCTTTGTTCCATTTTCTCTGTCATTTCTGAGGCCTCAGCCTTCTTGGCTAATGATATTCAAGGACCCAGCATGGACTGGGGGTGGGAGTAGGGCTTTCCAGAGTCCTGGTTTGGCCAGTGCTAACATAAACCATAAGATTTCTCTCCCCCATTTACTTGTGCACCTGGATGGAAGAAAGAACATGGCTGGGAACAGAGCCTTTCATCCCACACTCAGATGAGGTTGAAACTGCTAATACCCCTGGGAGAGCTAATGGTGATTGAAGTGGACAGTTGGACCACAGGAGTATAGGATTCAGAACTGGAAGAGGTCTTGGAGATCATTTAGTCCAACCTTCTCATTTTACAGATAAAGAAACTGAGTCTTAGAAAGGTTAAGTGAGTTTCTCCAGGTCACATAGTATCAGAGCTGGGATATGAATAATAGCTAATAACTAGCATTTATATATTACTTTAAGGTTTGCAAATAGTTTTACAACTATTACAAATTACAATATTTACAATATTTTACATGGGCACCTAGGTAGCCCAGTGGCTAGAGCGCCATGCCTGGAGTCAGGGAGACGCATCTTCCTGAGTTCAAATCTGACCTCAGTCACTTAGTAGCTTAACCCTGTTTGCCTCAGTTTCCTCATCTGTAAAATGAGCTGGAGAAGGAAATGGCAAACTACCCCATTATCTTTGCCAAGAAAATCCCAAATGGGGTCACAAAGAGTCAGACATGACTGCAAACGACTGAACACACACACACACACTCTATCATTTTATCCTCACAACAATCTTGGGACATAGGTGCCATAGTTATACCCATTTTACAGTTGAGGAAACTGAGGCAGACTAAAGCGAGATGTCTTACCCAAGGTCACATAGCTATTAAGTGTGTGAGGTCACATTTGAACTCAGATCTCCTGACTCCAGGTCCAGGGCTATCCACTGTATCACCTAGTTATTTCCGTAAACTCAGGTACATAGCAGTCTAGTGGTGGACGACTGCAAATACTGAAGAGCACCCTGGTCCTTGCTCTCAGATTTTATAATCTAATGCCCAACTTGAAATCAATATAAACATGTACATGTAACTAGATCAGTACATTAAGCATCAGTGATCTTGTCACCTTGGAAACGCCTTTCCCCAATGCAGATCTCAATCTGTAACTTAGGTAGTTGTACTAGGTTCAGAGAGGTTAATTGTCTTCAGATGGTCACCCAACTAAATGTGAGAAGTGAGACCTATGCCCAGGGCTTCCCGACTCTAGGCCCAGTGATTTTTGGACTTTTCCCCACTGCCTCTGATATGTGTATGAATACAATAAAAGTATTTTGGAAGGCTTATATTTGTGTTTGGATGAGGTTAATGGGGGAGGAAGAGGAAGCGAGTAAAAGGCCATGTGGAGGCTCCCCCTGCCATTAACTTGACTGCTTTGCCAAGGGGTCAGGGGCTGGTTTTAAGTGTGACACTATGATCTCTTTTCCTCTAGTGGATCTCTAGCCTTAGGCTTCTGACCCTGTAGAGATTCAGGCTCATGGGAACTTATGTAGTGGAACTTAGTCCAAGATGTGGTGTAACCTTGCTGACTATCATAGTGTCTTCCTTCCAACAAAACTAGGTCTTGGAAATAATAATTATATTAGCTGGCATTTGTATAGTGCTTTAAGGTTTGCCGAGTGTTTAATACGTTATCTCATTTGATCCTCACAACAACTGTGTTGTGAGTGCTGATTCTACAGATAAAGAAACTGAGACTGGGAGAACGTAAGTGACTTGACCAGGGTCACACTGCTAGCATGCACTTGAGGTGGGATTCAAACTCCAGTTTTCCTGATGTCTGCTGTGCTAATATCCTCCTTAGCCAGTATTTGTCATTTATATCTCTGTGGGAATTATTTGTTTTGGGGTTTCTTCTCCCTAGGGGATTTACGTACTAAGTCTTATCTCTGAATTGGAATGAAAGGTTTCTTTCCCTAAGGAAGGAACTTCAGGGAGGAGGGGAAGTTATGTTGGGGGTAGCCACACGTTCCTTCTGGTTGTTGACGTGGGAGTTGTTTGGCTGATCTCTGAGGTCTCTTCCAACTTTCCAGATTTTATGGTTCTAGAAAGCTTGGAATGAATGATGTTAACTCTGAGCTCTCACTTCCTTCTATTCCCAGAGGGTGGGTGTGGGTTTGGGGAACAAAGAAAGCCCCACTCCTGCCAGCCAGGAGGGAGACAGGAGGAAAAATCCAGTGAGGGTGAGTTAGATAAAGTGTTAGACCTAGAATGGATTGGGTCTCTAGGTGAATGTTGAGTGAGGGTCATAGGAGCAAAGATTTAGACTTGGAAGGGACCTCAGAGGTCTCCAATGCCTCCACTTTATAGATGATGAAACTGAGGCCAAGAGAGGTTGTAAATGATGCAACTGGGATTTGAAACCAAAGTCTTGGACTCTCAATTTAGTGCCCAGTCTACCATGCCATGCCTCCTGACCAAGGAAATATTTTAAATAGAGCTTGCCCCTAATTCCTGAGAAGTGTCCTTAAGGAAGCAACGTTGTAGAGAAAGAGCTCCATTTGTCCCTGAATGCTTAAGAAAGTGTCCGGGGAAAGGGGTTGAAGCCATCAACAGGCAAAATTGTAGGGATTTGGTAGGTGGTGTAATATGACCATGTCCTCTGTGGTGTGGGCCCCTACTCTCAACTTGGGGATGTCTGACCCTGGGGATAGTTGAGCAATGGGCACCTTCTAGTGCGGTCACCTCTTTTTGAGAAAGTCTTTCTTTTAGTGACTGGGGCGTTCTTGGACCTTGAGACTAATTTGGGTTTTGAATGGAAAGATCAGAGTGGTGGAGGGAGAGCCCGAGCCTGAGGATCTGGGGTAGAATGGTGGGGGGATCATCAGTCAGATTAGGAAATTAACATGTCCTCTCTCTGTCCAGGCTGAGGAGGAGCTCATCAAAGCTCAGAAGGTATTTGAGGAGATGAATGTTGACTTGCAGGAAGAGTTACCATCTCTGTGGAATAGGTGAGTGGGCCTAAGGCTAGAAACTCCTGTTGTCGTGAAACGGATATGGATCTTCACTCTTGGGAGGCCCTCAGTCTATTGGGGAAATCTAGTCCACGCCCTTGTTCTGTGAGAAAGGACAAATTGGTATTTGGCTTTATGACAAGAAAATAATCTTATCCAGAAATCCTATAGCTGCAAACACAATTGGAGCATTCTTCCCAAGGTCAATGTCTAGTCAATGTTCTTCTACTTTCCTTCTCCCACCACACCCAGAGATAGATATATATAAGAATTGGTGATAGGCAAAAGGAATTTTTTGTCTTTTTCCTTAGAAGGGGAAACTGAGGTCCAGATGAGTTGAATGGTCTACTTGAAGCCACACATTGTACTAAAAGAAATAGCCTGGTTCGTAGTCAGTTGTCCTTTGGTTGGGCTGTTAGGCAGAGAGTGGGAACTGTATGTTGAGGGGTCTTTGCAGAAGAAATGTAGCAGGGACCTAGCCTGAGCCCTTTCTAGGTGATTTCCTTGGACCCTGGCCTTCACCTGACCATCTGTCCTTTCTACTCACTTCAGCCGTGTTGGTTTCTATGTCAACACATTCCAGAGCATCGCTGGCCTGGAGGAGAATTTCCACAAGGAGATGAGCAAGGTAAACAAGCCCCTTCTCTTTGTGGCCTGGTCACCCCACCTCTGAGGTCTCGCTCCAGGAACCTCTGAGATACTTGGCATCGCTAGGCATTATGGGACATTATCCAGCAGTTTTGTGATGTAGTGGATAGAGTTCTGGGCCTTGGGTCAGGAAGACTTATCTTCCCTCGTTTAAATCTGTCTTCAGACACTTATTAGCAAGTCATTTAACCCTGTTTTCCTCAGTTTCCTCATCTGTCAGATGAGCTGGAGGAGGAAATGGCAACCTGTTCCCATATTTTTGCCAAGAAAACCCCAAATGGGGTCCTGAAGAGTTGGAAAAGACTGAAGATGACTGGACAGCAACATGGGACAGGGGAAACTGAATTCTGAAGCAAGAGGTCCTGGGTTCTGCTGCTTACTACCTATGTGACCTAAACTCGGTCACCTCTCTGGGCCTCAGCTTCTTATGTGTAAAATGAAGGGATTGAACTAGAAGCCTGTGATCCTCTTGTCCCCACTTCCCCCTTCAGATCTCTGTGAATATTGGGAGTGGTTCAGTGGTCAGTTTACTCCTGGTGCTCCACTGGAGAATCTTTTCTCTCTCCACCTCCCCACCTACAAGTTAGTGAACAGAGTCCTTCTCCCATGCCTTCCCTTACCCTTCCTGTGGTGATACCTTTCACTAATGCTACCTGTCCTGCCTCCCTACACTCCATTGTGTATTTGCTGCCTCTGGTTGGGAAAGGATCTGACCTGCTGAGTTGTTAGCTAATTATGGGCTCAAGGTGTTCCCTCTCCAAGATATTTGTATTTTAAGGGCAGATTCTTGGAAACCGAAAAGTCTTAAGGGCCAAAGGAACGAATCTCTTCATCCAAGGTTAGCCCTGGGGATGTGTGTCTGTGGTCTGAAGCCAATGAGGGAATGGCTTTTCTACAAACCTTCTGTGTTTTCTATCAGCATTTCAAGGTAGTCTCACCCCTTCTTCCTCCCAGCCATGTAGGGAAGGTCATAGAGAGGAAACAGAAGATAAATAAGCCAGGAAAAGGGATAACGACTGTAATAAAGGGGAGGGGGAAAGGGAAGGGAATAAGTTTTTATTGAAAACTTCATTGTGTCAGGCATTGGGCTAAACACTTTACAAATATTATCTCATTTTAGCTTTATAACATAGTGGAAGGTAGACAGAGGTTAAATGACTTGATCAGGGTCACCCAGCTGGTAAGTGCTTGAGGCTAGATTTGAACTCAGGTCTTCTCAACTCCAGGCCCAGGGCCTTATCCACTCTGCCCCTGGGGGTGTATAGGACTGCCTTGTGTGACTAGACCTCAAGGAGTCCAGAGAGTGAAAGTGAGTAGAAGAAATTGCCTTGTTGCCTATGTTTGCCTGTCCTAAAAGACCTCATTTGGACTGATAACAGCTAGACCTGTGTTAATTCGGACCAAATCTGCAAATCTGTCTGTACAGGACAGATGGGATGACTCTGGCATACTGTTCTACTCTATTGTATGCCATTCAGTATTTACAAAGTGTGAAATATTTGATTTCAGGTAGTGGATAGAGTGCTATCTATATTCCTGGAAGGAGTTTCCACAGTGGGAGTTCCTGAATGAAATTATATCTTCCTCTTATATTTATGTATCTACAACATCCTCAGCATAGATACATTTCATGCTATGCTGGGTTATGCTGGGTGTTGGGGGAATTTAAAGAGCATTGTTCTGAGTGTTGGGAATATAAAGACAGAGATCTTGGGGGACCCAGCCTTGTGGATGGGAGGTCAGGGAGAGAGGAGGAATAAGTTAAGTGTGGAAACAAGGGCAGGTCAGGATGGTGCTGCAGGTAGCTGCCCTTAGCTTTAGCACATGGGTTCCTAAGAAGTCTCAGAACCTGGATTGTACCTGCACTCCTGGACACACCACCTCATCCACTCCATTCATCAGCCCTCCTTTCTCTCTACAGCTGAACCAAAACCTGAATGATGTGCTGGTGAGCCTGGAGAAGCAGCATGGCAGCAATACATTCACTGTCAAGGCCCAGCCAAGGTCAGCCCCATACCCTCTCTATGGGGCTACAATCTTCCTGTCCGCATAACAACCCTCTCGTGTTCCTTGGTGGGGAGGCACTAAACGAGGAGAAAGCCTTGGCTTGGCCAGCTGAGGATATTCACAAAGGAAGGGCAGGCTTGCTCATGCTGATGTAGCTGGGGCAGGGCTGGGGGGTTGGGGAGGGGAAAGAGGAATGGGGAGGGAGATTAGCTCTAACTACATCCTTGTATCATGTGCAGGCCAGTGCGAGATGGGAGTGAGGATTTTAATACAGATCCCCATTTTTTTCCTGCAAACAAGTAAAAAGTGTAGGTTTGGAGCAAGCGCAGACAGGAAAACAGAAAGAACAATGAACTGGGCATCATGAGACCTAGGTTCTCACTAGTGTTGACTTGGCACAGAATAGTTATATCAATCTTGAGCAAATCACTTCTCTTTAGTTTTCTCATCTACAAAATAAAGGAGGTTCTACTAGATCAGGGGCTCTTAACATGGGGTGCATGAACTTTTAAAAAATGCTATAACTATAGTTCCATATAATTGGTTTCCTTTTATAATCCTACATATTTTATTTTATGCCTTTAAGGGTATTTTTCTGAGGAGGGTTAGCCAGATTCCTAGAGGGGTCGATCACACACACACACACACACACACACACACACACACACACACACAATGTAGAACCCTGTCCCTTAAATCCTATAAAGCTGATTCTAGGCTGGCATATCCAGGGAATCAAGTCCAAAGCTAGATGATTCTTAACCCCTGTGCTTCTTCCCACTACCTGAATCTTGGTATAGTAAACTGTGAGTCAGTGCAAGGTCCATCTCATCTGTGAGCAGAGTAGAGAGAATTCTGGCGTCAGAGGCAAGAGACCTGGCTTCACTACGTTCTAGCTGGACAACTCAGCCAGTGACCATTCCTCTGGCCCTTGATTTTTCCGCACTGAAATGAATCTAATAATACTTGTACTACCTGCCTCACAGGTTGTTGTGTGGCCCAAGTGAGACAATGGAAGTCAGAGTGCTTTGTGAAATAAAAGGCACCCTACAGATGTGAAGTTATTGCTATTATTGGTAAAACTCCAAGCCAGCTGAGCAGGAATGTTTGCCAAGCCTGTTCACTCAGTGGTGTGCCAGTGAATTCTAGATGCATCAGTCTTGCTTTCAGCTCAGTCCCTGGGCTGATGCTGCTCCCCTCCCCCATTCCTGTAAATCCTGTTCACATAAATAATGTTTAGCCCAGTAGGAATTTCAGAATCTAGATTTTTATCCCAAATGTTTCTTGTGACAAGATTAGGGGACAAAGAGGGGGCTTGGCAAATTTCCCTTTGTCTAGAGGTCTATAGGAACAAGAGCTGTACTTGGGGTTTCCACTCCTTAGGGACCATGGAAGTATGTATGAATTCGTATTATGTGTATTTTTATGTGTGAGTGTGTATGTGTGTGTGTGTGTGTGTGTGTGTGTGAGAGAGAGAGAGAGAGAGAGAGTATGTATATGCACAGATGATAGGATAAGGCCCATAGGGTGCCCTGATAGGAATTCAGTGTCACTGGGGAAAGAAATAAAGAGGATCCCTCTGTCTCTGGTCTTGAGGAGCTAATGTCCTGACAGGGAAGACAACCATAACATCCATCTCTACCATGCGAGCCTATCTCATCCCAATGTAGTCATATGAGTGACATGCAAGGAACATGGTTGACCAGGTACCATGATGTGTAGGCTGGGGAATGGTTTGTGTTAAAGCAGGGCTCATTTCTTAGAGGAGAGGGTCCTCCTTTTTTTATGGAGAGGGAAGAAATGAGGTTTAACAGCCTCCAGGGAAATAATTTCTTGAATCTGGGACTGCCTTCAGAAAAGGATTAGAAGTTGGAAAGGGTAAAATTAGATTAGAGGCAAAAGACTGAGTCATTGTCATGTCCCAGTGAGGCTAAGAGCGAACCCTATCATTTCAGAGAGGCAGTATGGTGTGGGGGGAAACACAGTGGTCCAGGTGTCAAAAGCTCTGAGTTTGAATCACATCTCTTCTACTTGCTAGTTTTGTGAACTTTGGCAGGTCATTTAGATTCTCTCTGCCTCCATTTCTTCGTCTGTAAAATGGGAACCAACTGTACTTGAGCTATGTATCTCGCAGGGTAGTTAGTTTAAAATTATGTAAGTATGAACTTTTAGCATTATTCTTACACTGTTTATCTGTTCCCCCTCTTCAGTTCTACAAATATTTATCAACTACCTACTATGTGTAAGATATTTCATACCAGTGGGGATGAGGTATAATATGTCTTTTTGGGGATGGGAGAGATGCACATGCAACCTAACTTTGATGGGAGTGGGTTGGAAACTGAAGTTGATGAGGTCAAAAAGCATTCACTAGGCAACTTTTCTAGTCTGGCAGATTTTAGGAACTGATTCACCCCTTAAACTGCATTATACATATATACCCTAACCATCCTTCCTTCTCTTCGCCCCTCAAAGTCACTATCATCTTTAATTATCATCCTGCTGAACTCAAAATAGCAAAGAAGAGAGAGAAAAATCCAGGACATCTTGGTTATGTGTTAAATTAAACTTTTTTCCTTGTTAGATAATTGTGACTTGGCAGACAGAGTCTCATTTGGAAGTTGGGAGACCAGAGTTCTAGTCTCAGCTCTGATGTGGGTTTCTTGTGTGGCTTTGGATAAATCACTTCCCTATGCTGGGTCTCACCTTCCCAATCTTTTAGGTGGACAGAATCACCTGTATCTTTAACGCTTGAGGAATGTAGACAAAAGTGAAATGCTGAACCCAGGAGCATCCTGGAGGGGCTGTAAAGAGAATCTGGCTAAGTGAGAAGATTCTTGCTAGGCCCTGTGTTCCGCTCATCGAAGGGAAGAGCTTTGCCTGGTTTGGTTTTGGGGGCCCCTTTTAAGAAGTGTATGTATTTTGGTGTTACGCTAGGGATGGGGAGAAAGGAAGACAGATGACTTTTATTTTTCCCTCCTATAATAAAAGCCATTTGCATCCGGTCCCCCACAGAAAGAAAACTAAACTGTTCTCCAGACTTCGGAGAAAGAAGAGCAGGTACCAGTATACCAAGAGCTGCATTGTGTGGGGGCCCTCGGGGCTCATAAAAACAAATGTGTGGCCTCCCATGATAACCTGGGTGTGCGGAGGGGAGGCGTGTGTTCCCTTGGGATCTAGAGCAGGCCCCGTGCATGTCCTGATGTCCTCAGCCTGGGAAGGGGGAGGATGGACAGAACTAACCCAATAACCTGCCTTGGTGTGTGTAATGCTGTTTATACTCTTTGCCCTCTTTGGTATAGGGAGAGGCTAGAGAAAGTATCCCAGGGAATCAGAGGCAGGAAACGAAGTTTTGTGGGTGTGGTATTTAGTTGGATGCTCAAAAGTAGGAAGCTAGGTATGAGATGGTCAAAGCAGGAGAGGAACAAAGGGTAGAGGCTGATGAGTACATAGAAAGAACTTGGCGGTCAGGTTGGGACTGGATGCTCCCCATCAGGAGAACGCTTCTGAGTTAAAGATCATCCAGAGAGGTCGGAACCAGGCAGGCAGTCAGGAACCGGAAATCCTTAGATCCTGGAGAGCAGGCCAAGGCGGTGAGGTTGGTCAATACCCAGGCAAGCAGTCTGGGCAGTAGATATGGGGTGCCAGCGACAAGGAGACCTTGATACTGAATATAACCATCAGATTTGCCTGGGAAGCTTCTTCTACGCTTCCTACTAGGGGCCAGAACCAATCTCAGGCCGTAGTTGCAGGCTGCATTACCTTGGCTCACCAGACCTAGCAGATCTGGTTGCAGGTCTGCTGTGATCCCTCAGGTTGGCTCCATTGGAGAGACCCCGACAGTGGATATTCGGTGGGGCCCGTCTGACTTAGAACTCTGTGGCCTGAAGCTGCTGTTGGGCCACTTCTGCACACCCTTTCCCCTACTCCTTTCTCCTTCTGGGACATTCTTAACTTCTCAGTTACTATTTTACTACTTTTAGTAGTAGTAACTACTACTCAGTTGTTTCTTAGTCACTTTTCTTGGAGGGGGAGGTGGTTTGTATTCTTTTTTTCTTTTTTAAAGAATTCAGATTAATAATATGGTATATCTATTAGCCTTTTTAAAAAGTCTGGTTTTGTTTTTAATTTTATCTTCAGTGACTTTTCAGTGCCTCAGTTTTCTAACCTTTAGTATGAGGAAATTGGATTGGATGATCTCTAACTTCCTTTTAAGCTTTACTTTCCTAGGATCATCAGAGCTGGGAGAGTCCAGATGGAATCTGGGTCCAGATGGAGCCACTGGGTCTGTTGAACATTGTTTGGGGAGACACCATAAAGAGAGAGAAAACATGATCCTGTCTGTGGTGGTTTCTTTACTAGGAATTTCTTTTGGACCAATCTCCACTTGACCCCAAATGCTTAGGCCCTAAAGGAATGGACCTAGGAGGAGTTAGGGAAGCTCATGTAATAGCCACTGGACTTTTGATTCGAGACAATTGCCACATTTTAATCTTCAGACCTTTGAGTTCTCTCAGCTGGGCTCACGTCTCTCGGGGGCGGAATGTCATCCTCTCTTTTGTGTTTAGCATCAGAAGGAAGGCTGAGATGGCTAGGGTTGGAGGTCTAGCCATGGGGGTTAGGGCGAGGGTTTGGCACTCACTTGACTCAGTTTTCAGTTATTCAGGGGCTGGCTAGATTATTCACTCCCCTTGGTACTCCTCTCCCTTTCCCTTGCATTGTAGCCTCCCCTTTCTGGAGGAGGGGCATGAAGAAAGGAAAGAAAACTCAGCCAACAAACATTTATTGCTTACTATGTGCCAGGATCTGTGAGAAGTATTGAGGATACAAAGAAAGGACAAAAACTGTCCCTAACCTCAATGAGGTCACGTTCTAATGGGGGAGACAACGCAAAAATAGCAGGTATATACAAAATACATCTAATAAGGCCTTGAAGGAGGAAAAAAAAACCCATCCTATTTTAGAAAATCTGTTATAAATAACTTTCATGGATCTGTGCTTACCTCTGCCTCCTATCTGTATGTATACTTGAGAATAAGCTTTGAATACCATGTTGCCTTGTATCTTGTAGATACAAGAGCATTAGAAGGACAGTATCTTTTGTATGGAGAGTGTCTGAGGCTTTGGGTTAGCCTGCCTGGCTTTTGGGGGCAGGTCCCAGGCTATCCAGGCCAGCTGGCATGAGTAGAATAGATGTGGGCCTGGATGCCTCAGGCCCCAGAACTATCACAAAGGCCCAGAGAGGGGTTAGGAGTGAGTTAGTGGGGGAATTGGAGTACTTTGGCTGTCTGCTTCCTACTGCTCCTATGTGGACTTGGGAATAGGGAACATTCTGGGAACATTTAGCATCTTTTGTTTTTTTTCATTTCTATCATTGTCCCTAAAGCATTCAAACATGGGCACAGAGACTCATCTGTGCGCCCTTTCACATAGTCATACACAGAAAGCATATTCATGCTTGAATGCACACCTGTACCCTCATTTGCATAGATACACATTTTTCCATACTCACAGATGTTCACATTCCCTTTGTAATAAGCCTCGGAGCAGAGGTACAGGCAAAGTCCTTAAAGGAGTTTTCTCCCAGAATTCTCTCTCCTCTGGGGCTGGGGTCCGTTCCTTGATCTAGAGGACCTGGCTAAGAGCTCCTCTAGAAAGTCGCCTCCTGCTCACTACCTCCCATTGTCTCTGTCTCCATCTCTGCAGTGACAATGCCCCTATGAAAGGGAACAAGAGCCCCTCACCACCACCCGATGGTTCCCCAGCTGGCACCCCTGAGATCAAGGTCAACCACGAGCCCGAACCAGCCAGCCTGGACACTCCTGGGGCTGCCATCCCCAAGTCGCCGTCTCAGGTACCCCCTTGACCACACAGTCCTTTCCTTACCTTTTGCTTCTGTCTCCTTCCTTCTTCCCTTTTCCTCTGCTTTCCTTCCCTTCTCTCTCTTCATCTTTTGTCCTCTTTCGCCCTTCTGTAAATGAGGGGATGCCCTCTGTGGGCTTCCCAACGCCCTCTTTTTCCCACTGAGGCAGGAGGTTAAGTTCTGGAGGTTTATAAGGGAGGCCTAGACGCCTATTTTGTTCCTGGACGGATGGCTCTGTCTGAGACTCCATAGAATCCCAGTACCCGTCTTCTTATGCCAGTCTCCCTCCAAGCCTCCCAGTCCCTGAGGGCCCTTCCTCAAAGTCTGAGTCTGGTCACCTCTGAAATGTTCTTGAGCCTCAGCAGTTTGGCCAACTGTTCACCCACTACTGTTACTGCTCTTGCTATTACTACTCTGATTTCCCACATTCCCCACAGTGGCCCAGTCTGCTCAGCTCTCTCCAGTCCTTGTTCCTTTAGTGGGGTGTTTTTTGGCTTTATTAGAGAACCAGACACCCTCGATCCCCAGCAGCCTGGATGCTATACACTTCCTTTGCTCTTGCCTCTTTGTAGTCTGAGTTTTTCTTTATGTAACTCCTTCCTCTCCCCTACCCCTTCCTTTTATTGTGGCTCTCCCACCCTTTTCTAGAGTGCATGTTATCACCCTCGGCCTGGTCCAGGGCATGGGGTTTCTTCTGGCTCTTCCAGTGTCCAGGGCATCCTGGGAGCATGTGTTGCTGCCCTTTTCCTCTCCTGCTATCCTGCCAGGTCAAATGCTGCCTCCTACCTCATGTGCCAAAAAATGAAAATTGTTCTCATTTTCTTTGAGTTTTCCCCCCGGGAGCTGCCTTATATTAATGTACTTAGTGTTGGAGGTCATTGGGGGTGGAGGATTATAAGGAAGGGAATGGAAGAAGATGGGGTGCGTTCTTGGCTTAAGGAAGAATCATTTAGCCCAAGGATCAAGAGAAAAAGTGGGAGAGAAGATGACTGAAAAGGAAACTAAAAAAGAAGAAAAAGAGGAAAAGGTAGTGAAGAGGGATGGGGAGTGGTGGGAGAAAGGGGGATGGAATCTCCTGGTTAGCAAGTGGGAAGGCAGGAAACAGACAGGCCCCCCGCATCCAGATTCCTCATCACCCCCTTTTAAGGCAAGCAGTCCAGTAGGAGGACTGCTCCCATTTTGGGCTTTAGAAAAGTTCTTTTAAAGTTAATTTAATTGAGTTTGGATTCCAGGGGAAGAGAAGAAAGCCAGCTGCGGTGGCTGTCTTGGTCTTCGGCTTGTAGAAAAGGCCGACAGTCAGAATGATGGAACCACAGCACCACCTGGTGGTTGCAGTGCTTCACTGCATGACAGTCTCCCCCAGCCTAGTTGTACTGGATCAAGTCCTATAAGAAATGGAGATAAGGGAACAAGAGAGACAGGGGAGCTGGGAAAGGGCATTTGTTACTGACAGAAGGCCTTCCGCTTTTTGCATAATGGGAAAAAAATCCACCAAACTAGAGGTAGGTGTTTCATTCACCTGTTCATTTTAGTTAAATCAGTATAATTCAACCAGATTTATGTAATTAAATTGAATTCAGCAAGGCTTTACTAAACACCTATATGAATTTGGCAAGAGCTTATTAAGGATATATTCTTTCTTCCCCTCCCTCCCTTTTCATTTTTTCCTACTTCTCTCCTTAAGCTTCACTATGTCTTTCTCCACTGTCAGTCTTTCTGTTATCTCTTTTTTCCCCCATTTTACCTGCTGCATCCCCAGCACAAGGAGTTCCCTTTTCTGAAGGGGCTTGTGACCCTGTTGGGCACACTAGACCTAGACACATGAAATAATAAAGAGACCATACAGGAGAGTTTCTGACTAAGAGATAGGTTGTGTGGTAGAGACTCATTCATACTTAGCTGGTCCTGGGGGTGGGACACCAGCGTGTGCAGTAGTGATCTAGGAAGTTTCCATGGAAAAGATGAGCTAGATCTTACAGGATGGGGGTAGGGTCTGGATAGATGGAAGACATACCTCTCATCTTCAGAGGGTAGACAGGGAGAAGCTGGATAGAAGGAGATAGAAGCCTGAACTGATATGTCCTTAGGGTCTAAGTTCTCCCAGCTATTGTTTTCCTCTTTTGAGCAGGTAGGTCCCTTCCTTGGGGAGGGAACAGGGTTGGTGTTAGATGGATTTGCTTTTTCTTTCTCTTTCCAGGGCAGTGTTTTCAGGCTTGACTTTTCTTCCTTTCCATCCCTGAGATTAAACTGGCATTTCTGGTGTCTGTGTTGAGACGTAATGATCATTTTGCATCTTGCTTCCCCTTCTCCAGCATAGGAGCCATGAGGATGGGCGGTGGACCCACTTGCTCCCATTTTCCTGACCGAGGCCAGCATCTCCTGCCCTGTACTCCTTGTCCATGGTCTGTGGTTTGACTAACCAGAGCTTTGTCTTTGTCTCTGTCCACATCTCTCTGCCCCCAACATGTTTTGCCGTGTGGTCCCCTGCCCCCTGTCGTCGGTCGCACCCCACCCTTATCTGCCTGCAGCTTCGAAAAGGCCCACCAGTCCCACCGCCTCCCAAACACACTCCGTCCAAGGAAATCAAGCAGGAACCACATTATCAGCTTGTTTGATGACAATTTTGTCCCCGAGATCAGCGTGACCACCCCCTCACAGGTCAGCCACAGCCATCCTTGGATGTTCAGTCTCTCTACCTTCCTTTCTTCATTTATCATATGCCATCCTTTTCTCCTCTTCTTCTCCAGGAGAAATGAGGAAGGAACAGGAGGGCTTCAGAGCATGTGCTGGCAGCTTGGGGTGAAAAAGGCTTGGAAATGAATTTGAGCTGGGAATTATAAATATTTACTGTCCATATCATACAAAAAAAAGCCCATTTTTACAAAATGAGGTCCTAAGCGGTTGAGTAGTAATGCTCCCTTGTGTTTCTACTTTTCAAGTTTTCCATTGTATGTCCCACCAAAAGATGCACTACTTTGTTTATGTAGTACTTCTTATATATTGCTTATGGGGGGGAAGGGAATAAGTGTTTATATAAGCCTACTGTGTGCCTGACACTGTGCTAAGCCTTTTACAAATATTGTCTCATTTGATCATTGAACCATAGACTGAGCTGGAAGAAACTTTAGAGATAATCTAGTCCAGTCCCCAGTAAGGAAACTGAGACTTAAAAGAGAATCATGGAGCTGTTCAATGGAACTGGTGAGGTGACTTGGCCAAGTTCATCCAACTAGTTAGTGACAGAGCTGAGACTAGAGCTCAAGTCTTCTCATTCTCAGCCTAGGATGCTTTTCTACCTTATCTCATCTACCTGTCTTGCTGCTAGGGGCAGATGGGTACGATGCAGGTTGGGATTCTGTGGCTTGAGGAATACAGTTAGGAAACCTTTTCTCTTCATTGAGAGGAACTTGGTATATCAGATAGTGCACTAAGCTTGGGGTCCAGAGAGACTTGGGCTTGAATCCTGACTGACACTTAATGGCTATGTGACCCTAGGTGTGATTCATTCAGCCTTTTAAGACTCAGTTTCCTTATCTGTAAATACTGTCTGTATTACCTATCTCAGACTCTTTATAAACCTTAAAACACTATAGAAATGTGAGCCATTATTAAGTATCTACTATATGCAAGGCAGAGAGACATTGTAGTATAATGGCTAGAATGCTGGATTTGGAATTAGGAATAGTAATAATAGCTACTATCATCTAGTGCCTGCTACGTGCCAGGTACTGTGCTGAGCACTTTACAAATATTTCATTTTATCCTCAAAACAACCCTGAGAGGTAGGTACTATTATTATCTCCATTTTATAGAGGAGGAAACTGTGACAGACAGGTTAAGTGACTTGCTCAAGGTCACACAGCTATTAAGCGTCTAAGGTCAAATTTGAACTAAGGTCTTCCTGATGCCCGGCCCAGCTCTAATCTACTACATACCTAGCTGCCCCCAGAAGATCTGGGTTTAAATCCTGACTCTGTCATTTACTAGCTGTGTGACCAGGAGTAAGTTCCTCACTCTGAGCCTCACTGAACTCCCCAAGACTATAAATTAGAGATGGATTGCTTCTGCATAAGTGGAGGGAGGTTCCCGCAGTGATGAAATCACAGGTCCTTGATTGACATATGCAGGGCTAGGTTTTGGAAATACAAGGATGAAAAATTGCACAACCCTCACAACCTTACATTCTATTGGGAATAGGCTTCCTTCAGGGGCATTGAGTTGTAGCTGTTCAAGCACAGGTTCAATGACCATTTGTTGGGGATTTTATAGATGGAATTCTTGATTTGGCTATTGATTGGCCTGTATGATTCCTGAAGTTCTTCCCAGCTTCAAGAATCTGTTATTCTGTGGACTCCCCCTCCTTTTTTTTTTTTTCTCCTTTTTGACACTGAGTCTATCACCTCCAGGCTGGAAGTCCTGATTACACTGATCCATCAGCATGGTCACTTTGACCTGTTCTGTTTCTGACCTGAGTTGGTTTACCCTTCTTTAGGCAGCTTGGTAGTCCTTCCCTTTCATTGTACTTAATCTTGGGAGCTCACCCTATTGGTGTCAGATTTGATGGGCACATGATTGATAGCATTCAGCAGCTCAGAACTCTAGAACTCAGGCAATCCATCAGCCTGGGATTATAGGTGTGTGCTACTGTGACTGGCATTCTGTGATCCTTTTATGGTTTATTCTGAGTCCCTCAGAAGGAATTGGGAAATTCTCCCTAGGAAGTCCATATATTTCAGCCAGACTTTTTTTGGGTGTTAAATAACTTGCCTAGGGTCACACAGCTAGTTAGTATCTGAGGCTGGATTTGAACTCAGGTCCTCCTGACTCCAGGGCCTGTGCTTTATCCACTCCGCCACCTAGCTCCCCTTTTAGTTTGACTTAATGGGAGAGACATATCCTCTTAGAGGGACTGCTGCACCCGCCTTCCTACTTCACTAGGAGAAAGGAAACTGCCAGAAGCCCCAGGCTTGCAGATGGCTTTCATCTTCTTCCCTATTTATCTTCTCTACTCCACCTGTGCCTGCTACTTCCCTCATGATTCATTGCATGTTTTCTCTCTCTCTCTCATTCCTCCTTCTACCTATTGCATGTCTTATATGTTTGTACGTACAATTGGGGGAATACACCTGTTCATGGAGCCTGGCCTGAGGACCAGGGTTTCTACCAGAGCATTCTCACCCTTGGTGCACAGAGGGGAGAGAGGGGCTGCTGGGACTTCTGGGACTGGGGGTGAGGGAAGGCCTCGCTTCACTGGATTTCTGCTGAGATGTCATCATTGTCATTGGCAACAAGGAAAGACTTCCAGCAAAACAAGGGATTCTAGGAAAGGCCAGGAGGCCTTTGCTCATAGGGTAGAAGTTTGCCTGCTTTGAGGTAAGGGGAGAAATGACTTCTCAGGGGTCCCCTCCCTGGTGTTCTTGTCAGATTGTTTTGTTTTTAAATGACTACTTTGTATTAGATTTATTGACATTCTGGATCAATAGTTAGGCTATTTGATTTATTTTAGCCATCCTCCTGACTCTTACTGACCCTTTTTGTAGGCTTATATGCTACCCCAGGGCAGTGAGGTGGCGAAGTGGATAGAGCGCTGGGCCTGGAGTCAGGAAGACTCATCTTCCTGAGTTCAGATCTGGCCTCAGACACTTACTAGCTGTGTGACCCTGGCAAAGTCATTTAACCCTGTTTGCCTCAGTTTCCTCATCTGTAAAAAGGTCTGGAGAAGGAAATGGCCAACCTCTCCAGTATCTTTGCCACGAAAACCGCAAATGGGGTCATGAAGAATCAGATGCGACTGAAATGACTGAACAACAACAACAAGATGCTATCCTGAGCATTCTCCTGCCTCTTTCCATGCATATCCAACCTCTTAAAGGACTCTACCATCCAAAATGTCATTCTTCCTTCTCTCGCCTCACCCCTATTTCTTTGGTGCAAATATCTCAGCTAGGTATCAGCAAGAAAAGAATTGGGTGTGTGTGGACTTTTTCACACTAGTGTGTAAAATCACTGATATTAATTATAGAGACACTTGCAATTTGAAAAGTGAACTATTATACTAGCCTAGATAAATCTCTTAACTGTGGAATTTTATGCTTTGTGACGAAATGAAATAACTTAAGTTTAGGCAGTGATATTTTCTGAGCAGACTCTCTAATCTGTTCTCTGTTATGCCATATCTCTTTATCCATGGATAGCAAACCTGTTTGGAGGGAATTTGGTTCCTGTCCTTAGCTTTTGGAGTTCACCACATCCATTCCTGCAATGTTGTTCAGTCATTTTTCAGTTGCATCTGACTATTCATGACCCCACATTTGAGGTTTTCTTAGCAAAGATACTGGAGTGGTTTGCCCTTTCCTTCTTCAGCTCATTTTACAGATGAGGAAACTGAGGCAGGGTTAAGTGACTTGCCCAGGCTCGCACAGCTAGTAAACATCTGAGGCCGGATTTGAACTCATGAAGATTCCAAGTTCAGTGCTCTATCCACTGCGCCACCTACCTGCCTTCCCATTCCTGCAGAAGCATCCCTTATTCCCTCCATCAAAGACAGACTCCCCTATTGGATAATATGGCGATCCTGGGGCCAATGGCTGTGAGATGGGGAGAGGGCAGCTTGGGAGATGCTGAGCCCTTGTCAAAGAATGGGAGAATGGGAAGGAACCTCGTGGTAAAAAGAGGGAGGCGATGTCTCCTTAAATTTTGAGGACACATGGGGAATGATGACTCACCTTAAAGTGCTACATAAAGTTAGCCATTATAATCTTGGAAGCGTTGGCTGGTCATACCTTTTCAGCCCGTGTCATAAAGATCTGTGGAGGAGGGGATCCTAGCAGGGTATGGTCTCTGCACAGGTGTGTGCCCATGTGCATTTGCATATATAGATGGCACTCACATGTACTCACAACTCCTCATGTATGTCTAACATGCAAACTGCTTCCTCCTTTTCTGCTGCCAAGTTTGATGTCCCTGGACCATTCCAGGAAAATGCCAGCCTGTTGGATCTGGACTTTGATCCCATCCCACCAGTTGCAAGCCCTGTGAAGGCACCTACGCCCTCTGGTCAGGTTGGTTTGTCTCTTGGCCGATGTGCCTCCTGGAATCCCAAGCTAGGGATCATGAAAGACTTCCCAGCACAGCCCTCCAGCCTGCTGTCCTGCTTTTACTTGGCTTCATGTTTCCCTTTGTTAGCCATCTGGTGGAGGGCTCTGGACTAGTGAGTACCCAGGGTAACAGGAAGACAAGCAAGTTTTTACTTTGAAATTTACTGTTAGCATGATTCCAGAGTACTCATGAGGAGATGTGCTACCTGCTGCCTGACACAGAGGTGATGTACTTAGGGTACATACTGATTGAGACATATTTTTTAGACCCAGCCAATTTGTTAATTTTTTTTTGTTTGGTTGTATGCATTTGTTGCAAGAGTTTTTTTTTTCTTTTTTCTTTTTCAGGATGAGGATGAGGGATGGAGAGGAGAGACAGTGGATTTTTGTTCATTGAAATTTTTTTTTTTTTGGTTAGGCAATTGGGGTTAAGTGACTTGCCCAGGGTCACACAGCTAGTAAGTGTCAAGTGTTTGGTCTGAGGCCGGATTTGAACTCAGGTACTCCTGACTTCAGGACCAATAATTTATCCACTGTGACACCTACCTGCCCCCCCAAATTTTGTTTTAAAAAAGAATTTTGCCAGAAATTGAAAAAAAATCCTATTAGTGATTTTGTCTAATTATCCATGATTAGGCTTCCTGGTTTATGTGGTTGAATGCAAATTATTTGCAAATAGATTTTATGCAACTATAGCTGAGTAGGTAAGGAGGCCTTTAGGGATGTCCTAGGGGAGACCCCTGTATTGGGTGACTTGATCATATAGGTGGTCAGAGTCAGTGAGAGGCCATCCCTTTGAATGTGGAGCAAGGTCCAGATCTCATTGAAGATCCATGGGTTCCAATGCCTCAAGTCCTTTGATGAGTCTGCCTTTGAGCCCATCCCAGTTCAGTTGTAGGCACAGTACCATCGAAGTTGGGATCTTGGGGGAGAGGGGGCTCCTCTGGGTGTAACTAATTGCCTGTGTTTGCTGGCCTGTAAATCTGACTCTCTCTTTATCACACTTTGACATGCTTAGTCGATTCCATGGGATCTCTGGGAGGTAAGCTTTGTGTCTCCCCTTTTCAGGTGTCTCATTGTTCCTTCTCCTTGGCATGAACACAGTGCCCTCATCATGCTTTTTCCGTAATGCTGCTATTTGCCTGCCCATTGGTTGTAGTAGGTTTTCATTCCAAAACCTCTTTTGTCTTTCTGTCGTTTCTTCTGCCTGCCTGCCTAGCATGATTATTCCCTGGATCCAGTTCTCCTGAGGGTTCACCCTTTCAAATGGTGTCATTGAAAGAGCACCCAGTACATCTTCTGGGTATATGTTGCTGTATATAACACTTTATATCCTGATTAGTAGAATGTATACATCATTCTAAGGCAGGGGTTCTTAACCTTAGGTTCTCTTTGGAGTCCATGGAGAGATTTCAGGGAGTCTGGGAAGTTGTATAGGAAAAATAAATTGTGTCTTTATTTTTATTAACCTTTGAAATCCTACATATCTCATTTTATGCATTTAAAAACATTCTGAGAAGGGTTCCATAGACTTCATCAGAGTGCTAAAAGGGCCTGTAACAGACAAAAAGGTTAAGAACTCCAGGTCTAAAGATTGTTGAATCACAGACTGTTAGATATATAAATGATCATTCAGTCCAGCCACTTCATTTTACAGATAGGGAAACTGAGATCCAGACAAAGAAGCAATATGCCCAGGGACACCCAGCTAGATACACATACACACACACCCCCTCTAAATGTTTTCCTCCATGTCCTTTTGTGAAGGCAGAAGACAGATCCAAGACACAGCAAAGCCAGGCCCTATTTTAACAATTATTCAAATCTACCTCTGGAGTCAAAGGGAACAGCAAAGCTATTAATAAATTATTCATCAACAAGTTTTTATTAACCCTTATCTGTGAATAGCCCAGATGTATAGTAGATGCTATGGGGAACACAGAAGAAGACTTGATCCATGTAAGCTGGTTGACATTGGTTCAACAAAATATTTATTAAGCCCTTACTTTGTGCAAAGCCAGAGATACAAAGATGAAAAACAACACAGTCTCTGTCCTTAAAGAGTTTACAATCTCTGAAAGGAAATACAGCATGTAACCCAATCAGTACACTATGAGGTAGGGAGTGAAGGGACCAAAGGAGAAATTCTAGGCAAAGTGCTCTAGGGAATTTTGAGGGGAAGAGAGGGGAGATCATTTTATCCATGGGGAAATCAAGCAAGGTTAAATGGAGAACTAGGTAGTGCCTAAGTCTTGAAGAATTCTGAAAGGTTAGGAAGAGATAAAGCTACCTTCCAGGCATGAAGGATGACCTTTGGGAATGTAGGGAAATGTGCTCTCTGCAAATGAAAAAAGTCTAGGTCATGATTTAAACCATATGTGCAATTGGAATTCGGAGACCAGAAAGATCATGGGAGTTGGAGTAGTTAGGCAAGCCCTCATAAAGAAAGGGGAACTTGAGTTGGGCTTTGAACGATGGTTAGTCTTTCAGCAGATGGAAGCGTATGTGATCTGTGAGAAGGCGTGGGGTCAGAAATGAGCATGGAGGCATAGGCTGGGAGGGAGAGGGAAGTAACAATGAGTTGCCTGGAATGGTCAAAGCAGAAGGTTTGCATTGGAGAGTAGCTGGGGTTCCTTCGGACACAGGAGACAGGAGGGTAGGAGGGTGGTACTGAATCCTGTTTGGAACTCAGCTGTGAGTTGTATCTCCCCTGTCAAGATGATACCTTATCATTAAATGCTCTAGATCTTTGCAGGGTCATTGATAATACTTTTTTTTTTTTAAAGAGAAACCACAGAACAGAAAAATAGTACCTCTTAAGATAATGCTTTAGCTGGGTCCTTTTAAGAAGGGCATTCTGGGATCTCTACAGCTCTCTGTGGAAGAAAAGGAAGTAGGATGGTTTAGGCATCATTTCACTGAGAGAAACGAGGAAATTGGATGGTCTGTGTATCATTTCTGTTAAGGAGATGAAGAAGGGGGATGATTTGTCTATAAGATTTTGCTGAAGCAACCCATCACAAGGTGGTAGTAGGGTTCCACATGTTCAAAAATTAGCAGAATGGCATTCTACTTCTAATCTCACCACTGGCTCTCTGGAATTAGCTTCTTGGGAACAATTTGAATCTCTAACTCAGAGGCAGTTTTGCTGAGATTATAGATGGCTTTGGGCACAGATCATGGACTATGAGCCTCCATCAGTGAACTGTCATTATTTAGCTCTGACTTTGGGGAGAATATATAGGATAGACAGTCATCAACAAGTATTTATTATTAAGCTTTTGTTATGTGCCAGGTCCTGAGGATAAAAAAAAAAGGCAAAAACACAGTCCTCAACTCTACCCTTCCAGCAGGTTTGGCTATAGGTCCAGATGCTGACTCCTGGATTCCATGTGCCTCTGTGTTCTCCCTCCCACCTTCTCTCTGTAGGTCATTGCTCATGTCTGTTTTCTCTTATTTTCTTCTTATGCCCTGACCATTACTTCCTTCCCTCGCCTTCCTATTCCCTTTTCTTTTCTTCCTCCCCTTCTGCCCATGCCTGTCCCTAGGCTGCAGAGAGTCCAGCTGGCAGCCTGCAGTCTGTGGAGCAGGGCCCTGCTGATAGCGCCACCGAAGAGGGCGCATTTCCCGTGGTCTGGCCCAGCCAGACCTCAGAGCCTGGGCCGGCCCAAGTAAGTGCCCCACCCCACTTCCTAACTTGTCCCTGCCTTCCAGATGGAGAGGAAAAAGGGGAAAGAGAAGCTGGAACATTTGAATTAAGGAGAGCAAAGGACTTCATAAAAGGCACTCATTCACCACTCTTCTAGGGTTAGGTGAGACCTGCCTAGAGGCAGGGGCCTGTGGGAGCTAAGTGGTTCTCAAGTTCAGGCTTAGGCAAAAGTCACTTGCCACCCAGCTGGTTTAATGCCTTTAACATAACAGTACTAACCTTCTGTTCCTAGTAGGAGTGAATTACTTCCTAACAGTCCTTCTAGGGCCTTATCCAAAGGACCAGGGGAAGGGGGCAGCAGGAGAGAAGCATGAAGTGGTCTGCAGACTGAGGGCATAAGAGGAGCTCTTGAGTTCTGTTTAGGACCTTGGGTTCTATCATTCATTCTTCTGAGGACTCTGTAGTAACGTAATTTTCACCTGCACATTGCCTGATGTTTTTTAAAGCACTTTGACATCCCTAATTTCATTTGATTCCATGATGACTCTCTGAGGTAGGTGAACCAAGGCTAAAATTACCCTTTGATGGGAATGAAGAAACTAAGATCCATTGAGTTTAGGTGACTTTGCCTGGGATTAGGTGGAGAAAGAGTAACTGAACCAGTCTTTGGCTCTTGGTATATGCTCTTCGTAACAAAGAAGAGTCATCCCTGTAGTCTATGATTTTTAAGTGTGAATTCTGGAGGGCCTAGGCGAATCAAGGAAGAGGAGAGAGTGAGAAGGTTCTAAGCGGCAGGATTTGTCTAGAGGCTACACACTGTGGTAAAGAAGGGGGGAAGATGGCTGCCCTTTTTTTGGGTATTGACGGTGAACGGGAAGTATCTGCTGATTCTGGCCGGATCTGTTCTTCTTTGGGGGGGAGAAGAGGATGCCTATCCCTACACTTTGGGGCCAAGCCAGGATCTGACCTGGCTCTGGGATTTATGTTGCAGCCAGGAGATGTGACAGAGGCTGGCGAGACGAAACCAGTGGCGGTAACTGAAGGAGCCAGTGAGACGGCGGCAGGTGACGGGGCCTCTGTAAGACCACAGGGAAGATAGACTTGTTTCTGTCTGTTTCTGTCTTTTTCTCTTTGCTTCTGTCTCTGTCTTTCTTTTCCCAACCCCACCCTGGTGTGTGAATATTTAAGGCTTAACCCCAGTCCAGCGCTTTGATCCCTTTGCCCCATAAGCTGGACCCACACACCAGTGCCAGTGAGGATCCTGGATGGGCCGGCCTGTGACCCTCACTGACCGCCAAGGTGGATTCTGTGCTGTGGGGCACCTGTCTTCTGTTTCCCTTGCCCCAACACTCCAGCCAGCCTTCCTCAACAATTCCCTGACCCTGTCTTCACTTCCTTTCCTAGAGCTCCCTGCCTGCTGTGGTGGTTGAGACCTTCCCAGCCACTGTGAATGGAACTGTGGAGGGCAGCACTCCCTCCAAGAGGTCTGACTTGCCCCCGGGATTCATGTTCAAGGTAAGAGAGGGAGGGAGGGAGGAAGAAGTCCCTTTCTCTCCTAACTGCCTAGCATAAGAAGGGACCAATTTTCTTAGGCAAGGGGGAAAGTCTCTCCAGTTGGGGGAAGAGGGTGGTTATAGAACATCTGACATTATCAACAGCACTCCATATTCTCTACTAGTTCCCCAGGAAGGGATTCCCTTCCCAGTGGAAAAACTCTTGGAACCTATTAGTAAACAGCCAATAGAGCCTTGTACTGGGTTGAATCTCACTTAACAAAATAATTGATTAATCAATCAATCAATAAACATTTCTTAAGCACCTCCTGTGTGCCAAGCATTGTGTTAAGTGCTGGGAATATAAAAAGGGGCAAAACACAGTTCCTTTCCTCAGAGAGCTTACCATCTAGTCGGTGAAACAACTGGCAAACAGATACATAGCAAAGCAAACTATATACAGGATAAGCAGGAAATAACAGAAGGAAGGCACTAGAATTAAGAGGGGTTGGAAAAGGCTTCATGTAGAAGATGGGATTTTAGTTGGCACTTGAAACCAGGGAAATCAGTAGGCAGAGACATGATTATCTAGCAGGTTCTGTTAACATGAAAGGGGTTATGTTTGGTGAAGACTTGTAAGCCCATGACCTTTCAAGGAAATTTCTTTTTCAATACAAACATGCAAATCTGTTTTTAAAAATGACTTCAATAAATTGAGATAATTTTGAGCAAACCTAAATATATGGACACAAGTATTTCTGCATAAAGATTGAATTAGATTATTAACCCAAGGATTACACAGTCTGCAAGCTTCCTTCTAGCTTAGCTCTAAAGCCTGTGGATTGTGAAGCCTCTGTCCTGGGACCCCAATGGACTTACTGCGTAGTCATGTATGTGGCAAAGGAGAAAGAGAGATGCAGCTTCTGGAACACAGTCATTGAAATGGACACCTTTTTTAGACTACTGCTATTTCCTAAGAGGCACCCTTGAGGGTTGGAAGCAAAAATGCAGACACAGACAGACACACATACACTCCACCCCCACATCCTCTTAGTTTCTAAGCTCCAGATCTGACTGTCTTAGGAGGTACTATCTTTAAAAGGGGATGGGTGTTTTTTTTTCTTTTTCTACTTAATAGTATTTTATTTTTTCCAATTACATGTAAAGATAGTTTTCAACATCCACTTCTATAAGTTTTTGAGTTCTAAATATTTTCTCCCTCCTTCCCCTCCCCTTTCCCCAAAACAGCATGCAATTTGATATAGGCTATACATGTACAATCAAATTAAACATATTTCCACATTAGTCATGTTGTGAAAGAAGAATCAGAACAAAAGGGAAAAACCATGAGAAAGAAAAAACAAACAAAAGAGAAAATAGTATGCTTCAATCTGCATTCAGACTCCATAGTTCTTTTTCTGGATGTGGATAGCATTTGATAGGTCGATTTTGAACTGAGAAAGTCCTGCCCTATTATCCAGAGAAAGCCACTTCTTCAAGTCCAGGTTCAAGACCCCTTACTTTCCCCATTTTCCAAAAGAAAGAACAGGAAATAATTAGAACACAACACAAGAGAATGTATAGGCAAGTGTTTGGTTGTGAGGTGATTAAAAATAATAAATTAAAAAAAAAACCCAAACCCCAAACCTCTGTATTGTACCATACCACTCCATAGTCTGCAAAGTTCACCGATGGTCTTCCTCCCCACGGCAGGTCCAGGCACAGCATGACTACACAGCCACTGACAGTGATGAACTACAGCTGAAGGCTGGAGATGTGGTGCTGGTGATTCCGTTCGAGAACCCGGAGGAGCAGGTGAGATGTACGGGGGTCCAGCCACAGCACAGAGGCCTCGACGGCTGGTTCTCTGGAACAGTATTGACCACAAGAGGGCAGCACAGGCCACAGAATGAAAGCATCCCTAAGCATCCCTAAGCGTCCGTAAGAGAGCATCCCTGCCTAAGGGGGAGAAGGGCTCTTTGGGAGTCATCACCATGGTCTGTGGGAAGAACTGGCTATGTCTGATTCTTCCTGTGTTTCTTCTCATTTCTTTTCATTTTCCTTCCCTTCTACTTCTTCACTCTTCCTTCTCTTGTTCCTTTTTCTCCTGTCCCCACTTTCTTCTCTTGCCTTTCTTCATATCCCCAGTGTTCTCATGGTGCTTGGTGTATAGTATGAGCTTAAGAAGCTTCATTTTCACCTCTATAGCTCTCCTGCAACCACTTTTTTCTTACTCTTACTCTTTCTCCCTTCTTTTCTGTTTCTCCTTTCTCCCTCTCTCCTTCTTCATACACTTTTCTTATTCTTATTCCTGTCTCTCTCCTCCTCTCCTCTTTTTTCCTTTCCACTCCATCCCCCTCCCTCCCTGTTCTTCTCCCCCGCTGTCTTTCTCTTTCTTTTCATTTTCTCTCTATTTTTCTCTGTTTCTCTTTCCCTTCTTTCTTCTTCCTCCTTCTCCTTTCCTTCTCTCTCTCTCTTTGCCTTATCCTCTTCTTTCTCTTTTACCCCAAATTCTCATTCTAGATAAATGAAATTTGCTTGACAACTTTATGTAAGCATCAGACCACCCACCACCAAATTTGGTAACTGCCAGGACCTGTGAGAGAGAGAATAGAAAAGGGAGATGGAATACCAAGAAGACTTGCATTGCTAGAAAGAATACTTAGTCAAAGGATCTAGGCTCCAGTGGTGGTTCTCTCATTTACTAGTTCTTGTCCCCCTTCTTTCTCTGTTGCTCCATTCCTCCCTCTCTCAGACAGATCACTTTAACTTATTTGTTAAATGAGGGGGTTGGACCAGTTGATATCTAAAGACCCTTCCTAGTTCTGAAGTTTGGTGATTCTACAATTTCTCCATCTTTTCCTTTCTCCTTTCTCTTTCCTTTCCCTGTCTTATTTCTTTCTCTTGCCACCCCATCCTTCCTTTCTTTCCTTGCCTCTCCTTTCCCTCCCCCTCCTCTCCACCTTTCTCTGTTGCCCCTTTTCTTTACCTTCTCTTTTCCCCTCTTCCCCATCTCTCTTCTACCTCACCCCCCTTTGCCCTCACTCCCTTTCTCTCTCTTTTCTCTTTATAGAATCATAGAATCTTAGAGATGGGAAATGCCATCTAAGCTAAGGGGGTTGTGACACCACCACAGCAGAGGGAGACCTTAGAGACTTGACAAGAAACTTTGACACCCGAAAGATAAATATGCCTGAGTAGAGTTGGGTGATGACTTGAAAGGTTACAGCCATTTCTGTGAGTTAGAGTACAAACTAGGTTTAGTCAGTGCATACTAGTAATGCTGCTAAGGCTCGTGATGATCTTCAGAAGCTTTGGGCCTTAGCTGTGTGTGTGTGTGTGTGTGTGTGTGTGTGTGAGAGAGAGAGAGAGAGAGAGAGAGAGTTTTGGGGGTTCAGAGGAGTGTTACTTGTCTCTGTTGAAAACCCAAAGGGTGCTTCCTCTATGCATTTTCCCTTGCGGAGATAAGGTTCCAGGAAATCTACTCATTATGTCTCTCTGTGAGAGGAAAGATGTAAGGAGTACCGAGCAGCGTTAACAATAGGAAACACTAGTGAGGAAAAGAGTTACTTTCCCAGTATGGCTACTCCTTATATCCTCTTCCAGTAGCCTCAGTGGAGGAATGCAGGCCTGTGCTCCCTACTGACCTCCTATCCATCCATGAAATCCCTTTTGCAGTTTCTCTGCCTGAATATTCCCAGTGACAAGGATCTTACTGCCTCACAAAGCAGCCCATTCTGTTTTTTGGATAGCTCTTAATTGTTTGGCAGTTTCTTTCCCCTAATATATAGCTGAAACTTAGCTTCCTGTACCTTGTGCCCACTGGTCCTAATTCTGTATTTTGGAACTGTCAGAAATAAGCCTCTTCTACATGATGGTACTTTAGATATTTAAAGATAGCTATCATCAAGGCAGCTTGGTTTAATAGATAGAAAGCTGGCCTCGAAGCCTGAAGGATATAGGTTCAAGTCTAGCCTCTGACACGTAAATGTGTGACTCTGGACCAATAACTTAAGCTTTCAGTGCTTTAGGTAGATCTCCAAGTAGTAGAGAAGGCTCCAGCCTTCATTGGTGGTGAGCTTCCTTATTTAGAAATTCCCGGTACCAGTAAAATCATATTCTTCCTCTCTGTCCTATCACACCCACCCCTCCCTCCTTAACTCTTCTCCAAGCAAAATCATTTCCTAATGAGGTGGAGCCAGAACCCATCCATCTTGGTTTCCCTTTAAAGTACATCCTAGCACGCCCATCTATTTCTAGACAAAACCCTTTTTATCTGTGTCTATCTTAAAATATGGTGCTCGAGGTTGGGGGTGGGGGGAGGGGGGAGAGCCCCCCCCCTCCAATGGAGATTTGGAAGTCTATGGATGTGGAACCTTGTATGCTGTGTGCTACTTGTGTTCAGTTCTGGCCACATTATGAGAAGAATATAAGTTAGTGAGAGACTGTCTGGAACAGGTCAAATAGGATAGTGAATAATCTTGAGTCCATGCCATATAAGCATGGGTTAGGGAACTAGGTGGGAATGAGGATAGCTTTCTTCAGGCACTTAAAGGGCTACCATGTAGAATTTGGATTAGATTTTTTTTTTCTGCTTGGTCTCAGAAGGCAGACCCGGGAGAATGGGTGAAAACTGCAAAGAAGTAAATTTAGATTTAACTATTAGAACTCTCTGGAAATGGAATGAACTGCTGCCTAAGAGGGAGCAAGTTTCACCTATCAGAGATCTTGAGGCAAAGGCTGTATGGCCAATTAGCCATTTTGTAGTGGGGATTCTTTTTCAGGTATGGGTTAGATCATTAGACTGCTGAGGTCTCTTTGCTTCTGAAGAGCAAAGGAAGTTGCTTGTGGGCGAGTGGGAAGCTATCTCCCTTCGTGGTATAATTGGAGGGAACACCAGCTTAAACATCTCTCCCACTGGTCAGTCAAAGTGCCTGAAAGGCCAGGATTTAAAGTTTTATTCTTTCCTTTCCCCTGTTAAGAGCACATCTGCTTCTTGGAGGGAAGGGTAACACATAAAGCAATTAACACTTTAGTGTGAAGTGATGGTAGTCTTTTCTAGTGTGATGGTTGGAGGTAGGTGAGGCAGGGTGGTAATGTATGAGAAAGCTAATTAGAACATAGAGTCTTAGTGAGATATTTGGGTGGAGGTCTGAGATGAACATGGTGATTTTGGGTGCTGAGGACACCAGGAGAACTTTTGCTGGAAGCTGGCCCTGCTGGGATAAAATGAAGAAGCCATTGTTGAACATGTATCATTTTGCAAGGTACCTAGGGGATACAAAAAAGTACAAGACATAGCCTGTTTCCAATAACTTTATTTTTTTTCTCAATTACATGTAAAAACAACTTTTAACATTCCTTTTTAAAAAATTTTGAGCTCCAAATTCTCTCCCTCTCCACCTTGAGAAAGCAAGCAGTTTGCTTTGGATTATACATGTGTAGTCATGAAAAACATATTTCCATATTAACCATGTTGCAAAAAAAATAGACCAAAAAACCCCAAGAAAATAAAGTGAAAAAATTATGCTTCGATCTGCATTCAGACTCTGTCAATTCTTTCTTTGGAAGTGGATAGCATTTTTCAATATTAAGTCCTTTGGAATTGCCTTGGATCATTGTATTGCTGAGAATAGCTAAGTCATTCATAGTTGATCATTGTACAGTATGTTACTGTGTGCAATGTTCTTCTGGTTCTCTTCACTTCACTTTGCTTCAATTCATATAAGTCTTCCCAGGTTTTTCTGAAAGCATCCTGCTCATTTCTTATAGCACAATAGTATTCCATTCCAGTCACATACCACAACTTGTTTAGCCATTCTCCATTTGATGGGCATCCCTTCAATTTAAAATTTTTTGTCACTGCGGAAAGAGCTTCTACAAATATTTTTGTAAATATAAAGTCCTTTTCCTTTTTTGTTGATCTCTTTGGGATACAGACCTAATAGTGGTGTTGCTGGGTCAAAGGGTATGCACAGATTTATAGCCCTTTGGGCATAGTTTCAAATTGGTCTCCAGAATGTTTGGATCAATTCACCACTGTACCAACAGTGCATTAGTGTACTCATTTTCCCACATATCTCAAGCATTTGTCATTTTTTGTCATATTAGACAGTCTGCTAGGTGTGAGTTGTACCTCTGAGTTGTTTTAATTTGCATTTCTATAACGAAAAGTGATTCAGAGCATTTTTTCACATGACTATAGACAGCTTTGACGTCTTCATCTGAAAACTGCCAGTTCATATCCCTTGACCATTTATCAATTGGGGAATGACTCATATTCTTATAAATTTGACTCAGTTTTCTATCAGAATTATCCATTTTACTTCCCAAAATGCACTCTATCTCTTTTTTAGTTCTTCCCTTATCCATGGGTCTGACAGGTAAAATATTCCACACTCCCCTAATTTGCTTATGGTGTTACCCTTTATGTCTGAATCATGCTCCCGCTTTGATCATATCTGTCAATATACAGTGTGAGATATTGGTCTATGTCTAGTTTCTGCCAAACTGCTTTCTAGTTTTCCCAACGGTTTTTGTCAAATAATGAGTTTTGTCCCAAAAGTTTGGATTTTGCATTTATCAAACACTAGATTACTATGGTCATTTGCTTCTGTGTATTTTGTATTTAATTTATTCCACTGATCTGCCACTCTATTTCTTAGCCAGTACTAGATTGTTTTGATGATTGCTGCTTTGTAGTACAGTTTGAGATCTGGTACTGCTAGGCCACATTCCTTCACATTTTTTTCCCAATGATTTCTTTGATATTCTTGACCTTTTTTTCTTCTGCATCAATTTTGTTGTCATTATTTCTAGCTCTACAAAATAATTTTTTGGTAGTTTGATTGGTATGACACTGAATAAATAAATTAATTTAGCTAGAATTGTAATTTTTATTATATTGGCTCAGCCTACCCATGAGCTATTAATATTTCTCCATTTATTTAGATCTGACTTCATTTGTGTGAAAAGTGTTTTGTAATTGTGTTAATAAAAGTAGTCTCTTTGTAGAGCTTAGTTCAGCTGGTCAAGAGAAGGGTAAACAATAATAATATTAATATAAGAGATAAAGAGTTCAATAGAACAGAAGATACATTGTAAACTATATACTGTAAGAGCTACAGAACAGAGCTACGAGCAGTAACTCATAGTGTGAACTCAGTGCAATTCAGTGAACACTTAAGTGCCCTACATTTGCTGTTACCCATGTTTGTACAAAGACAGAAACAAAATTGGTCAGAAGAAGAAGACTGTCATCTGGGGATGAAACAATCAGGGTAGTCTTCCTGGAAATGGTGGGATTTGAATTAGGCCTTGAAAAATAGGTAAGATTTGCCTAAGTTGCGGTGATGGAGAGGGTGAAATCTTCCCAAAAGCCAGAAAAAGAATTAGAGCTGGAGAGAATCTCTGGGCCACCCACCCCAGGACCCAAAGCACTTACCCTTGCTTCTCTTCCAGGATGAAGGCTGGCTGATGGGTGTGAAGGAGAGTGATTGGCACCAGCATAAGGAGTTGGAGAAATGCCGAGGTGTTTTTCCTGAGAACTTCACAGAGAAAGTCCAGTGAGAGCTGCAGTCATCACTCTTCTTTCAAGGGGAGTGAAGCTACCTTTTCCCCCCCTCAAAAAAAATGTGTCTTTCTGGTTTTTTTCTTTTTTTTCTGTTGGGGAAAAAATAGAAAGAAAAACAAGGAGAAAGAAGAGGAAGAACAGAAGCCACAAAACATAATGGATGACAGCCAAAATTTGAATTTGTCAGAATGGTGTTTTAAAAGTGTTATTTTGCAGCTGATGTATCCCTGTAGTTGAGTTCCAGTGCTGAGATACCCCTGCTCAGTTCTCAGTAGCGTGTGAGCCTTGATCAGGGAACACTGGGTGGGAGAGTGACCTTGTTGGAGACAAACAACAGGGGGTACCCAAACAGTTATGCTTGCCAGCCACTGTGGCCCATCCCAGGGTGAACACCATACACCCATTTCCCTGGCAGCTGCTGTTGGCATGGGTGTTTACAGGCAGCCCCTCCTCTAATCTTGGCTCCAAAGATCCTTCTCCAACCCCACTGACCAGGACATCTGTTGTGCTGTTTGACAGTAAACCTAGTGTACAGTGTTAAACAAAAACAAAAAAAATGCCACCATAAAACTGCAAGAAAAAAATCAAAACAACTAAACCCAAAACAAATTGTGTGTTTCTTTTTTTTCCTCCCCTCCTCCCCAATAAGTATAAGTGGACTGTGATTTGGGATTTTTACTGTGATGAAGGAAAGCTAAGGCAAGCCTTAGTTTAGAGTTAGAGCCTGCATTTAATCAAAGGGAAACCTCATTCCTCCCAGCTGAAGCTTGATACCTGGAGGGTTTCCCCTCTAAGTAGGGACAAATTAATGTGAAAGTGACCACTGGTCAGTGGTTCAAGAAAAGGAGGAGAAAATGTGCTGAGGAAAAGGAGGCAAAATTGGAGACAGAGGCAGCCTGTTTTCTTAAAATTATAGCCTTTCAAAGTTGTACCTTTATATTAGTAAGAGAGTGTAGCTCTTTGGGAACACAGATCGGCCCTTTATTTGTTGTTCTTGAATGGGGTTGGCTTTTTTCCCATGGAGAATTCTGTAGACTGGCCAGGGTTAGAGCCACCTTCCTGGCCCTCTTGTTGGCTAGGGTCAGAGCTGTATGAACTCTTTTAAACTCTATTTAACATTGGTGCATGACATTCTTATCCTGTGGTTAGTCGTGGGGAGAAGTCTGAGAAGCGGAGTGGAACTCCGTGAAGGGGTGAAAGGTGTGAAAATTCAGGCATTCCCATTTCTCCATGGCTTTGCTTTGCTTCTGCAGAAGGGAAGGGGTTTGTGTTGGTCAGTACTAAGGATATTTGAACACGGATGCAAACTAACCAATACCACCTCTTTCTCTTGTTCTCTCCTAGTTTTCTTCTCCCTCTTCCCCCTCATTCTCTCTCTCCTTTTGATGTAAACTCTTCTCTTGGGAAAACTCCATTTAGAACAGGTGGGGCCTCCACACTCAGGCTTCAGCCAGTCTGAACAAAATTTGCCTACACGGGCAGAAAGAGCTCCCAGGGGCTGCTGGGTGTAGTTGTCGACATTGCTCGTGTGATTAATTGGGGTGTTGGGGTGGAAGGCGGAGATCCAGGAGCCAGCTTTGTGTTCTAGAGTGGGTTGATTTCACTTGAAAGGGTCATCTTCTCCATTTTGCTCAGTGTTTTATTTTTAAAATGAAAAACAAAGCAAAACAAAATGAAACAAAAAAACCTGTACTTCATTGTCGTGTGTGTGTGTGTGTGTGTGTGTGTGTGTGTGTGTGTGTGTGTGTGTGTGTGTGTGTGTGTGTGATCTTTCTTGTCTACCTGTTTGGTCATGGATGGCTGTCATAGCTTGCCTCTAGCTGGAACAGCTTGTCATGGTTCTAGTTTCCAGCAGTAAGGCAGCCTTGCAAATAGCCTCCCCTCCCTCCCCCCAATTTGCCCAGGGACAAAGGCCAGCAAACAGTCAGGATTGTGGAAGCAGCTTCTTTGGGTGGTGTTCCCCAGGGTTCTCCTCAGGGAGGGTGGGCTGGGAAAACTGTGTGGGCGGCTGGTTTGGGTACTTTATCTGCAAGGCTGACTTAGTCATGTGATGGTCATTCCTTAAAAATGTTACAGTGTATTTGACTGCCTTGTTAGTTGGAAAAAAAAAAGTGGTGATGTTGGTTTCTCTTTTGGAAAATCTGAACAATGTAATGATCGATCCATGTGAAACTCTATTTTTATGCGTTTGTAAACCTGGTTGAATCTTCTCAGAGCAATGTTTTAAAATATATATCTACATAAATATATAACAGTAAAAGCAAGTGAATTGGGTTAATGCCGGAATCCTAGCTTAAATTTGTTTATATGTAAAACTTGTGGCCTTTTTTTTTTAAGGCAGCAGGATTATTGTTTCATCTTCTGAGTTGTCTCCTGGGGTTATTTGTTTGGTTGCCACTTCAGCAAATCTTTGTGTAGCACATATGGCTGTAGACAGTCAAACAGAGAGACCCTTACTGGGGAGTGGGGTGGGGGAAATGTTTTTTTAAGTTATCTCCAGAATGGAAACCAAATAATCAAATTTCATTCAATAAACGTTGAGTTCCTCTTCTGTTGCCTGGCCCTGTGGTGGATGTAAAAGATAAGATATAGCCTCTCTCAGAAAGCGCCTAAGATCCAGTAGGGGGACTGTGGTGAGCACACAGCGAGCTATACCTGCAACAAAGCACCATTGGTGAGTTACTGAGGACCTGAGATAGAAGCTGAAAGGTGGGAGAAGTCACTTCCCAGTGGGCTTTCACTCCAGGGCTATGTAAAAAAGAAAACTTTTCCCCCTATAAACCATTTTCTACTGGGTCATATACTCCTAAGAGTTGCCAGTGAGATGAAGCCCAACTCTGTGTGACCTTGGGCAAGTTATTTGCCCTCTTTGACTTCAGTTTCTTCATCTGTAAGGTCAAGGAGTTGAAGGATTTGGTCTCTGAGGGCCCTTCCACTCTAATTCTATTCTAATCCAATCTAAACTAACAGCAGTTTAAAAGAAACCTAGATAAGAAAATAAATGCTGATCCTAGAAAGTTGAGTCAAGCTTTCCTGGTCAAGATGGTTGCTTGGGGGGGTGAACTTGGCACAAGAAGGGGTGGATGAAAACCGTTATTTTCAGGTTATCCTGATAATTCAATTCAATGAACCTTAAGTACCTACTGTGTGCTAATCCTGGGACAAAATGTGAGATGATCTGTGCTCTCAAATCCCCAACAAGAAGCAGCCTTTTTTAGCAGAGGATGGATCTCCTTAAGTTAAGGGGGGAATCACAGCTGTTGTGTTCTTGTGGCTACCCTGTTGCTTTCTTGTATTCAACACTCTTCCCTGTGTTAGGGAATTCATTATAAAGTCAGGTCTGTTTTAGACCTGACCTAGGGCTTAATAGTTTTTGGTACCAAAAATCTCTCCTCAGAAGACAGCGTCACCCAGAGGCAGAGGCCCCAAGGCCAAGACTGAAGGGGCACAAAGGATATCTTAATATTGTTTAATATAAATGCACATATTTTTGGTGCCAGAAAATGCTGTTTGTTGGCATGTGGCTATTTTGTATTAAGTTCTATGTCTCATAAGTGGGGAGCAATATTTAGGAAAGAGTAATAAGCAACACTTTTTAAAGTTTTCCTAGAATCCACATGTATTCTCCTTGTTCTGGAGGGTGTTGTAGGGGAGTGGGTCAGGACAAAGGCTTGGAATAACCCACCATGGATGATTGAGAACAGTCCACTCACTGTCTCCAGAACGTACCTTATACTTTTCCTGCCTCCCCATACGTGTTCAACTGTGTCACCCTCCCTGGAAGGCCATTCCTGTTATGCTCAGTCAAATTCTGCCTGTCCTTTCAAAGCTCAGTTCAGGTCCCATATCCTCCACAAGCCTTTTGGCCTCTGATATTTTAATTAGTTGTATGACATTGGGAAAATAACTTTGCCTCTCTGACCTTCAGTTTCTTCATCTGTGAAATGGGAGTAATTCTATTGACCACCTCCTACACAGGGTTGTCCCAAGGAAAACACTTTTGCCAGTGTTTATCAGCACTAGAGAAATGTGAATTGTCTCTCCAGACCAAAGAGATCTTTCCCTTCTCCTGAATTCCTCCTTAAGGCACTTACTGTGTCTTATTTGGTGTTTGTCTCACACTGCTGTATCATATCTGATTGCATTAAACTAAATGGTAAGTCCTATCAGGGCAAGGCTCCTTATGTTTTTGGCATCCTTCACATATCAAATGATACTTGATTGAAAAAAGTCCTCATCAGACGTGGAGGTAATTATTACATATGTGGCTACTTCAATGAATGAGCATTCAAAGGAATAGGCATTTATTAAGCACCTTCTATATGTCAGGGACTGTGCTAAGCACTTTACAAATATTATCTCATTTAATCCTCACAACAACCCTGTCAGAGAGGTGCCCCACTTTGACAATTGAGGGTAGAGATTAAGTGCATTGCCCAGGATTATACAGTGTATGAGGCTGGATTTGAATTCAATTCTTCCAGACTCCAGGCTCAGTGTTGTAGCCGCTGAGCCACCTTTCTGCCTAAAACTAATGAATGAATACATGAATATATTAAGCACTTGTTGTGTGCTAGGCACTATATTAAGCACTGGAGATATGAAAGCTAAAATTCCTGCCCTCAAAGAGTTTACATTCTGCAAGAGGGAATCAACACAAAAGGAAATTGTGGCCAGGAAAGGGAGTTTTTTTCTGATAAGCCAGCAAGAGGAATGTTTAAGATCCATAAAGGACTTTCCAGAAGTTATAGTATTCCTTTGAGTATCATATCCAAAACTAGAGGAGAAAAGGAGGATGCAAATGAGTGGAGGCAGGGCCAATGGCATGATGGCCAAGACATATTTGCAGAGGATGGGGAGCATGGTCTAGTCTGGGTCCAGCTAGATTTAGCAGGTTAGGTGAGTTGCCCTTAACTACTGGACTCTCCCCCCCACCCACATCACTACCAGCCTCTCTCTGTCTTTGTCTCTTCCTCAACTCTGCCACACCCCCCCCCCCAAGAGAGATGCAATGACTGGGGGCTCCGTGTAGATAATAGACCTCAAGTCAAAAGACTTTAGGCCCCAGTCCTGGCTGTGTCACAGAATTATATGAACTTGGGCGAGCCATAAAACCTTTGTTTTCCTTAGAGGACTGAGTCCTACCTGTTCAAGTAGGACAACATTCTTGCCGTGTGCTTATCTAGCCTTTCCTTGAATATTTCCACTGATGGGTCACTCAGGAGCTCCCCAGCTCTAGTTCAAAAACTTATATTAACCTGAAACTTACCTCCTGCTAAAACTTTCATTCATTGTTCTAAGTTCTGTCTGTAGCAACATAGAAGTCTAATCTCTTTTCCACATGGGAACCCTTCAAATACTCCAAGTTTGCTCTTTTCCAGGGTAAATGTCCTTTATTCTTTAAATGTTGCCCAACATCCTCATTGACCCTCTGGACAAACATTCAAATTTGTCGATGTCTTCCCTAATGTGTATACTATAGCATAGTTTTTAATCTCAGTAGGCCTCTCACATTCTATAATTCTATAACAACTTCTCATTCACTTGCATTTTTCAGACTTTTCTGGCCCCATCTCATTAGGGTTCTTAGAGGACAGTGTGCCCCATTGTAACATTCACCCCCTTTTCCTGTCCCTTAGCTTATCCTAAATTTACACATATGGCCTGAGATAATAGATCTAGACCTGGAAGACACTTCAGTGACCATCTATTCCACCCCCAGGTGGAATTGAGGCCCAGGGAAACTAATCAACTTTCCAAAGGTCACATAAAGTAGAAAGGATCAGAAGCAGGATTCAAATCTAGGTCCTCTGCCTCCAGAAGCAGTGCTCTTTTCATTGTACCACACTTGCTTTGAAGACAGAGAACCTCCTAGTGGAGTTTACATCCCAAAGATGCTAGTTAAACCCAATAGGGAATGAAGGTATTTGTTCTCCAAGGATTGGGCTATCAATGACATTATTCACCACTCCAAACCTGACCCTGACAGCACTGGAAGGACTAGGAGCAGCCAATGGATGAAAGCTGCATCCATGAATGACAATAGATCGACAGGTTGTTCAGTCATGTGGGACTCTTTGTGATCCTTTTTGGGGTTTTCTTGGCAAAGATCCTGGAGTGGTTTGCCATTTCTTTCTCCAGCTCATTTTATAGATGAGGAAACCGAGGCAAGCAAGGTTAAGTGACTTGCCCAGGGTCACACAGCAAATAAATGTCTGAGGCCAGGTTTGAACTCAGGAAGATGAGCCTTCCTGATTTGAGGCTCAACACTCTATCCAATATACCACCTAGCTGCCCCCAGACAAAGAGATCAGGACGTAATATGATTAATCTTTCTACTAAAGGAAAGGTCAAAGCGGCTTAGTGAGAACTGGTCCTTTTTGATGTACCCCCAGTTATTTCTTTTGGTTCAGTTTTCTCCATTGAACCTGCAACTGAGGGAAAGTTATTCTATCTGGCTCCTTGAAACCCCAGCCAAACTATATATACATTGAGGGATGGTGAAACAGGCCCAGACTTAAAGGAGTGGATCATATAGTGAAGCCCTGTAATGGTCAAGCCATGACAGATTTCAGCCTAAAAAGGTTTAGAGGCTACCATATTCTTGCCTCCCTGAGGCCCCACAGGTACATTCCCATTTGCTATGTTCCCCAGATCCTTTCCGTCCTTTATTTCCTGTTATTTTACTCAAGAATATGTTTTCCAAAGGCCTAGTTCTCCCCTCCCACCCATTTTCATCAGTGGGCAAGAAACAGTCAAACTACACATACCTGTACACACAAGTGCATGCACAAGTGTATACAAACATACAAGTGTATACTAAGACATACACTCCTTTCTTCCTCCTTGAGCTCACCCCACTTCATATTAGCAGAGAGAAAGGACAGATAACTTCCCGTAGTGCCCTACAAGGGAACTGTTGACCCCAGCGTTGAGCCATTCCTATTGGACAGGAGTTTTAGTTCTATGTGTCCAGCTCTTGGACTCCATGGACACTGGCTTTCAGTCTCTGAGCAGGTGGAGTAATTGGTGTGGGGAGGGGAAGAGAGTGGGGAGATTTTATGGGGCTGGAGGTGAAGCAAGGATTGAAGACAGAAAAGGGCCAATGTATGTCTCTAGAATCTTAGCATGATTGTGACTCTATATTTGGTAGTGTGTAAGCAAGCATCTGTGTGTTTGTGTTTGGGTAAGTGTCCCAAAGTGGTTTTGAACCGACCCACCCATTACAACGTCATATTGATCTTTGTTCTGTAATGTAAACTGTTCTCTTCAGGGGCTTCCCAGGAAGGAAGAATGGTGAGTGGGGACCAGAGCCCTGGGCTATGGGTGTTCTTTTGGAGAAAATAATAAAATCTGGTGTTTCTATAGCTACATGCCTTATCTCATTTGATTCTCACAAAAGCTCTCTGAGATTTGTGTTGCCATGGTTCTTTTACCTACTTTACAGATGAGGAAACTGTCTCAGAGAGGTTAAGTGACTTGCTAGTTGTCATACAACAGGATGACAAGGTGGAATCTCTCCTGATCCAAAGTCCAAGTTCTCATCTCTTC